GTGGGCAGATTCTTGTCTTCCTTCCTCTCTAGAACTTGTGGACATCCAGTGCCACCGAATTTTGGAGGATTCAAGGCTGCTAAAATAAAGGACTTCTTTGCATAGCCAGTAGTTAATCTGCCACGATGATCAAGGGTCTGGAAACTAAGCCGCATGAGGAATAGTTGAGGAAGTTGGGTATGTTTATCCTGGGAAAGAGGATATATGAGACCCATCTTGAAATATCTCAAGAGCTGTCCCACAGAAGGTGGAGCAAGCTTGTTTTCTCCTGCTTTGGAGGGTAGGATTTGAACCAACAGATTCACGTTACAAGAATAGAGATTCCAGCTTAAACATCAGGAAGAACTTTCTGACATGAAGAGCTGTTCGACAGGAGAACGGACTCCCTCGGGAGGTTATGGATTCTCCTTCCTTGGAGGTTTTTAAGCAGAGATTGGATGGCCATCTGTCATGGATGTTTTAGCTGAGATTCCTGCATTGCAGGGGGCTGGACTCAGTGGCCATGGGGGTCAACTCTATGATTCTATGAAATTCGCTCCCTCAAGATGCATCAATGGCCACCTACTTGGATGGCTTTAAAAGAGGATTAGACAGATTCATGGAGGGTAAGACTATCGGTAGCTGCTAGCTGTGTTGGCTATGCTCTGCCTCCATGGTTGGAAATAGCCAGGGGTCAGCAAGGTTTACTGGCCATGGGCTGGATCACTCCCACGGAGATCATCCGTGGGCCGGACTGGTACAGCATGACGCCAAGAAATGGCATCTGCGCATGTCTGCGGCACCGGAAATTACTTCTGCGCATGCCCAGACGCCAGAAACTGCGCCTGCACAGAAGTGTTTTTTGGCGTCTGGACATGCGCAGAAGCAATTTCCAGTATCTGCGCATGTGCAGATGCGATTTCCGGCACCGCTCAGTGAGTCCCTGCACCGCACTGTGCCGGTTTAGCGCAGTGCGCGGGGGACTCACTGAGCAAGCGGCTCGATTCAGGGGCGGCTCGTGGGCCGCTAAAACGGTCTTTGTGGGCTGCATCCAGTCCATGGGCCGCACGTTGCTGACCCCTGTTATAAGATCACTAGATCACTAGATTGCTGTAGGCTGGTTTATATCCTGGAGCAACAAGGTCTCAGGATTTGGCGTTTTGCTTTTAAAAGAGTACCGCAAGCAAGAAACCACCAGTTGCATGTGATGCCTTTTAAGATTTCTGAACAGATAACCTTGCAGTGCATTTCATCTGTCAATAACAACAACTTCAATGCATAGAACAGAGAGGAGGAAATACGTCTTGACAGGCTCGCATATCTAGCAAGCCATCGACTCATTAAATTTGATTAGAGTACTATTCCGTGATGAGGGAAGGAAATGCCTAATGGGAGCAGTGCGTTTTTATTCTTTGCAGCCATCGCAATACATTATACGCTGGCAATGAAATAATGCCAGTCCACGTGCGCAGTCTTCTGCACATAAAGGGCACGGCACATCTCTGTGTAGGGAAGCAACAGAGGAACATAAGCAACGTTGTCATAAAGTTCTCCAGCGTGCAAATTAAATCAAGCAGAAAAAGTTAATGGAAGGCAAAACATTTGGCAACATTGGCAGAAGCTGCACTGAGAGGATCAGCAAGTGATCCCAGTGGTCAATCCAGAGGCAAGAGAGACACATGGAAGGCATTATGGCTTTAGCAATAGGATTTAACAGTCCACCTGGGGTGTACGGGGTGTTAGGGGAGGGGTAGTACCACCATGCTCCTTCTGGGATAGTTTGTCCACCTTAGGTCCCCAGCCTGCACTCACCTCTCACCTGTGGCTCCTAGAAACTGTCAGCGACGGCCCCCTGGGAACAGCTTCGACTGACTGGCTAAACCAGGTGAGGGTCGCCAATGGGTCTCAAGCCCTCGTTGAGTTAGGGACTTCCCCTGCATGTGAACACAGGCTCCAGCGGATTCTGCAGACGAGACCAATAGTGGATCCAACTGTCAAGGAGGCCTAGGACCCATGTACCCACGGGACCGCCTCTCCTGGTATGCCCCGCGGAGTACCTTAAGGTCCACAAATGACAACATTTTGGAGGTCCCAGGTCGCAAGGTGGTTAGATTGGTCTCAACTAGGGCCAGGGCCTTTTCAGTACTGGCCCCGACTTGGTGGAACGCTCTGTCACAAGGGCCCTGCGGGATTTGACATCTTTCCGCAGGGCCTGCAAGACAGAGCTGTTCCGCCTGGCTTTTGGTTTTGACTCAATCTGACCTTTATGTTTCCCTCCCCTTATGGTCTTGATTTATTGGATACTTTTAAAACGAGGCTACATTTTAACTTGTATTTTAAATTGGGTTTTTTTTTCTCTTCCCTTTTCCCCTATTATGTTTTTACAGTGGTTTTATTGGTGTTAGCCTGGCTCTGGCCGGGGAGGGCGGGGTATAAATAATAATAATAATAATTATTATTATTATTATTATTATTATTATTATTTTGCACGTGCTGTAGAGGGAAGTGAGGGACAGATGGGACTCATCAAGCTGGGAAAGTTGCCCATCTAGGAGAAGGAAAACTGATCTTAAACCTCCACTGCCTTGTTGGGAATTTTTGGGAGAAGAAAAGGGTAAGGAGTAAACTCTACATAAATCTAGCGTGGAGTCCCTAAATTGGTTGGATGGCGTCTTGTACGCCTCCTGGCAACTCCAGCAACCAAGCTGGTGCCAAATATATTGCTCTACTTTCCTTTGGACCACGTCAGCCAAGAGAGGAGTCTTGTCATCTGGGCAGCCCAGGACCTCCATGCACACTGCCCAGGATTGCACCCCGGGAAAGTCATTTCAGGGCTGCTAACACAGCAGACTTCACCCCCCGAGGCACACTCCATTGTCTCTTGAGACAGATGCCTACAATGTTCCCGTAGGTGATGAAAGTTACCACTTTCACATCATCTCCTTCTGCTGCTCATTGCAGCCTTGCCAGTAAACTCGTCCTTGACTTTACTATAATGCACAAGATCCAAAAACAGACTGGCTTCAATGAGGAAGTAGAAGGTAACTCCTAATCCAGCCCTGAACGGAGACTTATTTCAAAATAGCCTGGCTCTTTGTGCCCGTTGATGAACCTTTTCCTGCCCAGGGAAGAGCGAACTTGGGTGAGATGGAAACATTCCAGTGGTGGGTGAGGCCAGAGGTCAAAGTCTGAGCAGAGAGAGGTTTTCCTGGGGTTTTTTGTTTGTGCATTAGGCCTCCGGCAATATTAAAAAGTCAACTGCTAATTTAACACTATCAGAACATAATGTTTTCCGGGAGCCTGCTGATACTTGCAGCACCAGCCCATCCCAGGGCTTTGAGGTCAACTTTATGGCATGGGTAAATAACTTCCTGGAAAAACACGGAGACACTACATAGTACGGGCTTGGGCATATCGCTTAATTGATCCTGGGCTTTTAATAAACAAACAAGGAAATGAAACCATCTGGTGATGGGCAGCTGGAGCAAGTTCCTTAGTTTGGGCCAGATGTTTACAGCTATGATAAAATAAGCTCTAGAATCAGAAACGTAGCTCTGCTGGGTAAGGCTGATCTCATAGAATCAGAATTGTAGAGCTGAAGGGACCCTGAGGGTCATCTAGTCCAACCCCCTGCAATGCAGAAATCTCAGCTAAGACATCCATGGCAGATGGCCATCCAACCTCTCCTTAAAAACTCCAGTGCTCATAAAGGTGCAGGGTAACAAAAACAGGTTAGGTATAGTTGTCTCCAGTTTCCATTCCCAGCTTCTGATATGTGCAGCCCAATCTTTTTCTCTGAAGTAAAGCATAAGGAGGATTTTTTGCAAAAAAATACCTTAGATCTTGTGGAGGTCTTACAATAGGTCATGGCAGGGACAGTGTGGGCTAAAGTCTGGCTGCCTTGCCATCAAGTATACAACCTCCTACAGCAGTCTTGGTCAACCTGGTGCCCACCCAATGTTTTGGACTATAACTCCCATCAGGCCTGTGCTGGCTTGGGCAGATGGGATTTGTAGTCCAAAACACCTGGCAGGCATCAGGTGGGCAAAGGCTGTTCTATAGTGCTCGTGAATGGTTTGGGAACACCTGACGCTGTAGTGTCACTGAAGTTAAGGCCTGATCAATAACCTAGACTAAGGCTCCTGCTATATATTGTGCTCTAGGCGGCTTAGTTTGGTCAGAATCAAGTACACACCACCAGAGTTAACACTAAATACATTAATTCCTGTAAATAAGCCACCACAGAAACTAGAGGGCTGTGAAAATTTGTGTACCAGGCTTTTTAGAAACGTCTACCCATGTATTGTCTGATACCAAAGGGGTGCATTGGTTGCCAGGTGTGACACCCCACCCCCCAGCTCTCCTACCCCATTAAGGTTGCTCATGGCATCAGCCGTGGAAAGGACCATCACTTAGCTTTGGAGACTCCAGCTGTCCTAGGTACCAATTTACACCTGCAAACCATCAATGGATGGACAGTTTAGAAACGCCAGATGACAATAACTGCCCCTTGCTACGGCTCCAAGCCAACAGTGCTGATTAGGAGCCTAATCTTTTGTCATTATGGAGCTCTCCATAGTTCCACCACCCTGGTAGGTTCAAGGGATGGCAGCCTGGGAGGGGCATATGAGGTGGCAGCTCCTGGCTGTGGAGTTCCCTCCCTAGGGAGGCAGGTCTGGCAAGTTGACTGTCTGTTTTTCATCATATGCTAACTCTCTGCCCAGGTTTATGACACCTCAGAGGTATACATTTTAGTCCCCACCCTATTATTCAGATTATAGATTGATTTAACTGATGCTGCATTTTTACGTTGCTGTAAGCCCGCCCTAGGACCTTATGGTGAAGAAAGGAAAGGAATGAATAATACACATGTTCTCAAGTTGCTGTTGAGAGAGAGAGAGCTGGGGATTAAATTCAAGCAAAGTTCTACATCACAACTGCAGGGAGGGTGAAGTGTGAGTGAAGTAAAGGAGCAGGGTCAGGCCATTTCAATCTCAGAAATAAGAAGCTCAACATCTTCTGAAATACCAGAGACAATGAGGTTTTAATTAGGTGCTTTTCTTCATGCACAGTAACAGTCTTCTGGTACCATTCTTACTCCACACCCCTACCCCATAATATACTAACAGAGCAAATATAAAGATGGACCTGAAATAATAATTTAACTTGCTCACCCCACTGATAGAAGTTCACAGTATTATTCATCATTCATTCCCACCACGAGTCAGTGTATTTGACAAAGTATAGGATAAAGTGCATTATGGGTTGTTGTTTTTTGACACAGTCCTACGAAATCTCTCTAATGTACAATCATAATGGGTACAGCCCATTTTCTCATTATTCCAAAGTAGATGGTGCTTGCTGTTCAAGGATTCGACATAACTCCCAGAGACATTTGGCATTAGAGATCATCTTTCGTTTCAAACTATGGTGCAACCTTTTCTTAGGAAAGGAGTTTCCGGGTGGCACTCTTACAAAGATGTATACTGAGTACACTCTGCACAGCTCAAGTACTGTCATAAATCTAATTTTTGGTGTCATTGACGCAAGGGACTCCACCCTGTCACAGTAACTCCTGCTCGTCGTCTTCAGAACCAGAGGGCCCTTGTCGCACTTCTTCGTACCATTTGTTGGTGAGGGTTTTCATCTGTATGCGTCCGTGATGTAAGTCCTAAGGCAAAGGAACATTGCAACCGCTTAAGACAGCATTTCTATCTTTCCCTGTGTTGGAAGAACAGCCTGTGGCTGAGAAGTGCGAGTTTTGAACGTGTGGGTTCTGAACAAAGCAGGCACTGAATCTAAACCAATTATGAAAGATTTCTTTGTATGCTACAAAATGTTGCTGTAGCTCATCCAAGGGAGCGTAGTGGCAACATTCACACAGAATAAAGAAACTTTGCAGGTGGAAGGAATTTCCCTGCCAGGGTCTGTCTCAGCCTGGGGATGGCCCTTTCTCTCCTGAATCCCACACCTAGCTTCTCTCTCCAGGGAGGCCTGAACGGCACCAATGCTGTCACTGTTTCAGCACCAAGCAAATATAGGTTTGTTTGTTTTTGTTTGGTGCTACCTAGATGCCTAAGAAACAATGATTGAATGTTTTTACACTAATAGTGTTTTTAATAAGTTGGGTGTGTGTTTTTACAGTATCACTATATATTTTTCTTCTAAACTGCTTCAGGACATTGCTGTGCGAAGTGATTCCTAAGAATGTGCTGGATCAGGCCAATGGCTCATCTAGTTCAGCGTTACAGCTGCCAACCAGATGCCAGTGGAAAGCCTGCAAGGTGGACATGAGCACAACAGTACTCTGCCCACCTGCAATTCCCAGCAAATGGTATTCAGAGGCACAATGGTCAAACCCACCTCTTGTGTGAGCCGCCTAGTGAAGAAAGGATTCAAGTATTTAACATCGAGCCACATAAATCCTTTGAGGTCCTGGCGCTTTAAGTAGTGGGCTTCATACTCTTCCTCGGTGAGTTCGGACAAGTGTTCAGATTCAATGGTGTTACCCTGGAGAGATCAGAGAAGGGAAATGAAACATCAGAATCCCAAACCATTGTTTCCTCCGTCACTTCTTAGCCTTTCCCATTCACATACTTCACTGAAGCCAATCAATACTCCCGACAGAAAGCAGCAATATAAATAATAACGATCGTTTGGGTAATGAAATGCCAATTTCCAGCAGACCATTTCAAGAATGTGGGTTCAGAGGAGGCTAAAATTGCCATGGCATTCGTCAGTCCTGTTCTGATACTGCTGATGGTTATGGCTGTGCCAAACACATGGAGAAGGAAAGCAGCAAGCGCACCTGCTAGGGACCTAGTATAGTATTTATCCAGGAAGGCCGCTTGCCTCTTTCGTGAATGAAGCCTCTAACTGAGCTTTGCCCAGTCTGGATTTGCACCAGTAGCATCAAAGTAGATGGATGGTCAAGAAAGCCACTTCCGCCTGCAGAAGGAGGTAGTGTTGTGGGCTTCACGCCCACACCGCGCGCGTGGCGGCTGGCTCTCAGCCTCCACACGATTGAGGGAATCCCCGGCCATGTCATCCCCTGAACAGCCAATCAGCTGGCTCAGGGGCGTGGCCTGCCCTATTTAACACAGGCGGGCCGGGGGGCGAAACCCCCTGAGCCTGAGGTCCATGCACATGCCACTAAACTGTGGCTTAGCACAACATGTAAACTAGGCTTTTAAGTGTCTTCGATGGGAGATAATGACGTTGGAGTCACCAGTGTTTTAAGGGCCGTGGGTGCATTCGGATTTTTGAGTGAGTGATGTGGGAGCTACCTGCTATACCTGGTTCTCTCCCCCTGCCCTGGATCAGCTCCCCGCTCCCCCCCTGCACACAAGAGAAAGAAAGCATACGTGTGCATGCGTGTGTGAGCGCTCTTTCTCACACACTGCTCACTTTTCAACGGATCTGGGTGAAAGTCAGATCAGGTAGAATGAACCTGGGCTTTGAAAAGCACATAGAGATGAAAGAGGAAGTGGGGAGAGAACCAGTCTTCCAAATTCCTGCTTCAGCTGTAGGTGCTTTTCAGGGGAGAACAAGGTAAGCGTCCTCAAGCACTGCATGATCAAGTGGGTTGGAGTGGAAAGGTGAGTTCAGAGGCTTTAGGGGCACTAGAGGAAGACTTCAAGGGCATCTCACCCGTGGGAACCACATTGGCATGCCCTGTTTGACACAACACCTGGATATGGTGCAACAGACACGTAAGGCTTTATGTTCCAGTACAACTCATTTTCTCAGTAAAGCACTGGCCTGTTCTGAACACTTTGCTACCTGCTCTGTACATTGCAGAACAACAGCTTGGGTACAGCCAACTGTTTCACAGTACTTCTGGTTTGGCAAGATAGTGGACGTAAGCAAACTTTACTCTTTGGGGAACTCTCTCTGCCTTTCTCTGAACAGAGCCGTGCATATCCCCATTTTGAACAGCTTGCTAGTGATTTACAGCTGCCGCTTAATGGCGGAGAGGAACACCACTGTCTCCCTGAGTGATGTGTGACTCACTATCTATGTGTTATTATCATCCACTTATATGTGACTCAGTCCACCCAGTGCTATCATGACTGCATTTCAGCAGAAATGCTATTTCACTTAAAGGAAATAACTTGCCATTAAACTTCAAGTTGTGAGTGGTATTACAAACTGGAAAAGGGCTCTGTCAAGCCCAGGATTAAAGGGCAGAGATGTTCCATGCACTGTAATGCAAAGAAAGAACCTGATATCACTGCACACAAAAAGTACTGCCTCCTTCCAGTCACCGTACCCTCCGGGTTAGGCGCAGTTATGGCTTGGCTACTCCAAATTCAACGAGCCTTAATGACACTAGGACTAAACCTCTTTTCCGTAGCATCGTACAAAGGTATCCACAGGGCGCACATAGTCTGAAACCAAGCTGTCCAATCTAGAACTCACCTCCTCTCAGCCCTAGCTTCCTGGTTTATCTACCCAATGAAGTGATGACCAAAGTGGACCCAGTCATCTGGCTTCCTCAGAGAGGACCTGATTTATCCATATGAGCTGCCATTGCAGAACACAGGAAGTTAATATAAATGAGGCTTGATACACTCTGGGCAGCACTACACATGTACTGGGAAAGAGAAAACTCTCAAAACCTGGTCATAAAACTATTAAATCAAAGGAACAGTCACAAAGGGACTAACACCCCAGAAACCCCTGCCAATCACTGGGACTCAAGAATGGATGATATGGCAGTTCGCTCATGGAAGCTTCTCATACACTGCCGCAACGCAGACCTCTTCACTCTACTATGATTTGCAATCAACTACTCCCGCCCCTCGCCTTAAAGGGCTGCCAAACACCATTCATCCAGGTAATCTGTCACGTCCTGCTTCCATGCCTGGACCTGAGTCCTCATTCAGTGCGGTCCAGGCAGACTGTATATCCTCCTCGTCAGTCAAACCCCGCTTCCAGAACCTCTTGTATCCGTAACCTCTCTGGCCAAGAAACGCTAAGGAAGCCACTGTGCAATAGACAGCTCAGGCTTTATTAAAGACCCTGCACACACAAACCAAATTACCACCCTTCGATAATTCTTCACACAAACACGCCAAAGGGGCCCCAGACCCTTGGCAATGCTTCTTCACTAAAGAACTATGAGGACCTTGATCAGTCCTCCCCCAACTGTTTCAATGTGCTATCCTGGAACGTGGAGTGGATGATGTCAAACAGGATGAAGTGGGATATGATAGAGTTTTAGCTAAATCTAGATTATGGTATACAAGAGTCCTGGTGGTTAGAATCGCCACCCCTTCCCTACTGGGCTATGATGCTTTTGTGATTCTAAGGTCCAAAACATTTGTGCGGGCGCCCAGTGAGGCCTGGTGGTCATTTGTTTGTAGGAGTTTCATCTTGGCTATCTTCTCTCCTTTGGGTTAGAGAGAATTGTATTCAAACTTTCTTTTGCACATCACTAACAGTCAGCTGGGGACTTCATATGTGTTAGCAACTCATCTACCTCTTCCATACAAATCATTTTGGAGGATCTAAGATTTATCCTTGATAAACTAGCTGAATTCCAAACAGAGATCCTCATAATGGTGGATCTTACGCGTAATCGACAGATATAAGCTCATTCACCGGCTGTTTGAACTATTCAGAAGAGGAGTGGTTTCCTGTAATCTAATAGTGTTTGACAAGACCTGCCAATAGGGGCTGGCATCATAATGCTGGAGTTTACCATTAACTGCGGGCTGCACATGCATGGTACACCCAAAGACCGGTCCGGGGAGTGGGTACTTTCTAGGATCTAGAGGGCAAGCGTTATAGATTATATCTATCCTCCCCGGCACTTAATGATAAGGCATATTGTTTCAATGTGTTCAACAGAACCGAAAGTGACCACCTCCACACATCACCACACACAGCTGGGGCTCCCCAGCCACCCTCCCAGGATCCACTGACCCCAGCCCCGGTCGTAAGAAGTGGGATATCTATCTGGAGCAAGACATAAAAAGTCCTCCCACCTGAGATCCTAGCCCTGAAAGCTCAGCTGGTAACAAATGAGCTGAATCATTTCTCGGTGTTTCCAATAAATTAAACACTTGCTCCCATCACTTACGAAACCCTCCTGCGTAGTCTAACTGAAGAATCAAACTTGGTTCGACCAAGAATGCAAACAGAAGTAGGCTTAGATCTCTTCAGTCTGATATGAAACGAGACAGCACCCAGAGCAAAATCAGGGAGTTAGCCCAATTCCGTCTTACTACAAGAAGTGTTCCAACATAAGAAATTGATCTTTGCTAAAGAACGCTGACGGCATTGTCAGTGGCCATTAAAATCGGACAGGAAATTGGAATTTAATAATGCAGGTTTGGGGACCTCATTCACTCTAATAACATCACAGCAGCCAGTTGGCACTCTCACTGGCTCAGCTGTACTCCTCACTGGGGATCAGCAAACAGTTTCCACTCTTCCTGCATCTGTTCTATGCCCACCTGGGAGCCAGTCTCCCAGAGATGTACAAACTGACTAGCATGTTATCAGGGGATAATCCTGGGGAGACAGACTCACCCGAGGTATTCTGCTGAACCAGATGTGGTGGGCCCTATCTTTGCATCTCTACCACTATTAATGCCACTCTTAAGATCCCGCCAAATTGGAAACAGAGCATAGTCATCCCAATACATAAAAGGGGGGACCCACAAGATCCGCGTAACTATCGACCCATCAGCCTGCTAGACATATCATACAAGGTTTACTCTAGATTCTGCTAGAGAAATTAATCGAGTGGGCAGAAGAAACAAAGCTATTCCACTGAACAGTCTGCTCAGAAGGTCACAGTACATCTGGGCTTTCACACTGTCTGATTACCCTGATTGATAAATACTCAAACAGGGTTTAGACCCAAACAAAAATCCACGCGGCTTTGTGACCTGACCTCCGCTTTTGACTCCATTCCCAGAGATAGGCTATGGCAGAAGCTTTAGTTACACCAACATAGATAAGAGACTCCTTCTTCTTATGGAAATTCATAATGACACATATCACAGAGTAAAATTGACTCTTTCTGATTCTTTCTTTCCCTCTGAATAAGGGGTCAAGCCAGGGCGCCTCTTGGCCCTTTCTATTCAATTTCTATATCAACGACATCGTTACAACGATGCAGGCCCTAAATCAATCTGCCCCCTCTCTACAACAGCTTAAGATCCCCATATTACTCATGCGGACGACATGGTGATACTGCCTTAACCAAGTGAGGTCAACAGCCATGCTCAGAGGGCTCAGCATATATTGTGATACCAATTTCAAACACTCGCTAAAACCAAAATTCTACTTTTTAAATGCAAAACTCGAGCCATTCTGGAACTTTGAGGCCACCTATTGAATATTGCTCAGCTTTTGGGTATTTGGGAATTTTCAGCATGGGCTTAGCTACTTCAGCTCTACCTAAATATGACCATCCTGGCTGCCCGTAGAACCAGTGCCTTTGAGAGCCCTCTATGCAAAGGCCAGTTGTCTCCAATTAATCAGGAAAAGCATTTGTTATAAAAAGTCCTCCCGATGTTATTGTATGGGGTTGAAATCTGGGGGTGGAATTTAAAACACTACAACGGCTGAGATTCTACAAACTCTTTGCACGAAGATACTGGGGTCTCCCTGGCTCGGGTTGCTGCTCAGTTAAGAACAGAACTGGGCCTTCCATTGTTGCTAGAGCCCACATTAGAATTAGTTTTTATTGTAAACAATCAATGCCCCAGGTTCCTACTAGCCAGGTAAGCCTTTAACTTGTTCACTCAACAAATGGTCCAAGGCCATGAGACTATTATCGTACTTACCCTCCTTGGTAATCTCGACACGTTGTCATCTTGGGACCACCATAAAACTGCCTGATTCTTATAAGAGATGAGGCCATGGACCGGGCAGGTCCACCTGGGCTCGCCTCCATGTGGCTCCCAAAGAAAGTGGTAAGATCGCCTACACCACTTGATAGACCTGACGGAGCCCAATTTGAGAAGAGCTGCCATAAATGCCTGCCATTCTATACCCCACGGCCTCTCTGCAGGGGGACCCACCTAAGACCCCTAGACATCACGTGCCTATGTCCATGCACAATGAATGCTAGAGACTTCACATTTCTTTTCTACTGCCCTATTGCACCCAATAAGACCTAAGCTCTCCTCTTGATCCTGCCCTCCATTTCATCTAAGGTGACTGCCCAGGCACTTCAGACGCAAATCCCCTGAATTTCTACGTGGGTGCAATCTTCAAGGTAAATTTGAACTAGGGCTACTCTGACAGTAGTGCCTAGTCCTGACCTGTTATTCTTTTATGCCTTAACTCAATGTGTTGAGCCTATTTTAGCCTTTTTTCTATTTATATCCATATTAGTTTTTGCTGGCACAAATCTCTGTATTGTTCAGTGTTTAAATGTCATACGCCAGCAATATCGCTTTGAATTTCATTATTATTTGTCCCCAACATTTTTTTTATTATCTTATTTTGCTATGGCTGTATGCTAATGCAATTAAATTAAATAAAAAAAAAAAAAAAAAAAAGATGTTCCATGCAGAACATTCAGGAGGCCATCAACTCCTTGGCCTGAAGGTCTGGCCTTTCCTTTAATTCGCATAGTGACAGAAGCGGTCAGAGAGTTTGGCGAAAGTGAAGGATCCGCCCCGCTTAAGCCTGGAAGGAAAAGGAGCTCACCATTTTTTCTGTCTTGCTGAGGTTAATGTCCTTCTTGTTCTTTCGCCGGGCTTTGGAGTCTTCAATGTCGATCAGTCTGATTAAGGGCATGGTCCCTCCTCCCAGTAACAAGATGGTGAACAGCACAATGATGATTGTCGTGGTGCCAATGAGCTGCCGCTTCTCTATCGGCTCCAAGCCCAAATGGAGGCTCAAGGCATATGGGATGGCCCCACGCAAGCCTAGATGAGCAGAGGGAAAATAAGGAATGCAATTTATTTACCAATAGGCAGGCTTCTTAAGCTACACAAACAATTTGGTTGTTTTACTTGTTGCTTTTAGATTGGGCACATCCCATACCCAGCACCCTGGTTTCATCTACTGCAGCCCACAGACTTTTGACAAGGCTGCATTTGTCATCCCTTGTTACCCTTCACCCTGTCTCTGTTGGGGAAAGGGTTGCAGCTCAGTGGTAACATGTTTTTTGCATGCAGGAGGCCTCGGGTTTAATCCCTGGCATCTCCAGACAGGCCTAGGAGGGACCCCTGGCTGAAGCCCTGAGCAGCTGCTGTGAGTCAGTGCAGACATAACTGATTTACATGGACCATTGGTATAGGACAGCTTGCTATGTTCCTAGTGTCTCCTTCACAAAATGTTGGACATTTGAGTTGCTTTATGCTAAGGTCACTGGCACATCCAGCCCAGTATTGCCTACTCTGACTGGCAGTAACGCTGCCCGGAGGTCTCCACCTGGAGGTTTTTCCCCATCACCTCCTACCTGGCTCCATAAACACAGCATCCACACAGCAACCTTCTACCTGTCCATTCCACTGGAGATGCCTCAGCCAGAGAACTTCGGCATGCAAAACTTGTGCTTTGCTACTGGCTGATGCAGGGCAGTTAAATTAGTAGCATACCAAAAAAAAAATGGAAACTGTAAACTCCTCAGGGCAGGGACCTGTCTATTTGCTTGCATTGCTCCATAAACGTTGATCAGTAGTACAATATGAAGAAATAACTAGGATTTTTTTTTTAAAAAGTATCAAGTAAGCCAAAATACTTACCACTAAACCACATGATGAACATCATTTTTGGGGTGATCTTGTGATCGCGGAAGAAATTGAGCAGGTAGGAGAGGGGGAAAATATTGACAGCTCTGCCAAAAAGCACAAGCACCTGTCAAAAGGCAAGCAAATTAGCCACTGGGCAAGGGGAAGCATTCTTTCAGGCACATCAGAGCAGTCCAAATTGTAAATGGCTAGTGAGGACGCTCCTCAGATCAGCTGATAATCAAGAGTCACAAATAAGTCACTATACACCAGCTCTTCTGCCAGGGGTTAGTATCCAAGGAAGTGATTCCACCGGAAAAAGGATTTCTATTTTGCACAACTCCTCCTCCCTCTCCTGTCCCTGCGTATGCCCCGTGCCCTCCCCAAATCTGCTCAAAAGGGTCAGGGGGAAACACAGAACAGATTTAGGGGCTGTGCGGGAAGAGGAAGAATTGCATCCATGGAAATAAGAAGCTCACTGCCCCAACTAAAGGGATAATGAAAACTACTCCTTTAAAAAGGGGAGTGGGGTGTAGCTCATGATATAGGTTACAATAATGTGTGTGACGTATGTAAAATATTAGATGTATTTTTTTTTATTTCTCAGTTATACCCCATCAAAAGACAACCTTCCCATATTGTCCTAAACGTAGGTATATATATTCTTGTGTGTTTGCGCGCGTACACACACAAACTTATCTGTGGAACGGTCTCCCTTGGGAGGTGGTGGACTCTCCTTCCTTGGAGGTTTTTAAGCAGAGTTTGGATGGCCATCTGTCATGGATGCTTTAGCTGAGATTCCTGCATTGCAGGGGGTTAGACTAGATGACCCCGGGGTCCCTTCCAACTCTACAATTCGAAGATCATTCATATGCTCCTCCCCCTGGCAATTCACTGTTCAACAGTGACAGAATAACACTCCCTGCTAGCAGCAGTCCCTGCTGTAGACTATTCTCTTTAGACTGCCCACTGAAAGCGGGGAGGGGAATCCATCATTCTGACACTCTTAACTATTTCTGACTATGAGACAGTGCAAGCAGCCAATAATCTCCACGTTTACTTGGAAATAAAGCAGCTCTAAATAAAGAGAGACACTTCCAAGGAAATATGCAAGGGAGCAGAGTGCATTAAGTAATCACGACTATATATTGTCAGAGCTTAGGCAAGAGCTATGGGTTTTTTGCACAACCACTGCATAACAGCATGTCGTGTTCTGAGATGTGCACCTTTTGTTTCGAAAGAGAAGCAAATGCCTAGCTCCCAAGGCCTCCAGAGAGCGAAATGGGCAGAGGCAGTACCTCTCCAAGGTAGCCATCACTGCTTTGTCGTGCTTGCGAGCTTATTATGGAGGCACCCAGCAGGCCAATGCTGGAAACAAGATGCGGGACTGGACAAGTCACAATGTCTTGCCCTTGCTGGGTCCCTGGTTGCAGGGGATTTGTGCAAGGCAGGAATGTCCAAGGCTGTTCCAAGGTCCAATTCCAGGCAAGTTATTTGCTCCAATAAGGGCTCGGGGAAAAAGCAAACCAAGGGGCAGCGCAAGGTCCATGCCCCAGGAAGCCGAGGGTCAATGAGGGGCTGTTCAGGTAAGCAGTGTGTTAAGATCAGGGACAAGATCTAGTGCTAGTAGCAATGTGCTGTTCAAGCTGTTCTCCCAGCCTCGTGGTGAGGCTCTTAACCCAGAGCCCCACCCTGGCTCCTGCTGCAGCCTCTTAGAGGTTGGTAAAAGAGCAGCGGCGTGTGGTGAATTCTTCCGTAGGGGAACAGTTAGGGCCAGAGGTATCAGCTTGTGAGGGTAGAAGACATAGCTCCATCCAAATCCTCCCTCCTCCCCGAAGAGTAAATTGCAGGTTTCTGTTAGTCTGCTAAATTCTATTCTGACAAATAGCAGTTCCATAAACTGAGGGGCCTTCAGATTATGGAACTCCCGCTCCACGGAAGTGAGGGTGGCCTCGACCAAACAAACCTTTAAGCGGACTTCAAAAACCTGTTCGTCAATCTGATCTATTCACAGAGCTCTGCTAACTCAAGAGCACAGCCACTAAAAGTCGATGAGATTTCATTAGGGTGGACATTTCTAAATTATAAGAAAATCCCACAACTCCAGAGTGTGATTGTTAGTTTACTTAACTTTCTCAATCACCCTGTTCTTGAGACCTGCATTTCTGAACTTTTCACATATACCCAGATAAATATACTACAAAGAGAATATATGCCAAAATCACAGACCCTTGAGAACTTTGACCAAGATAGAACTTTTGAAAAGCTCTGTCTCAGGCTTTTGACATGGTGCCCCTAAGTGCAGTCACCAAGAATGCTTTGCCATTATTCCTATTTTGCAAAAAAGAACCTTTTTTAAAAAATCAAAACAAAACACAATGGCTATTCAGTGGGTTCATAACTCATCAGAAAATGGAACCATTAAAATTTGGGGGTTCTTTGAAACCGCACCAAAGGAGCTCAACACAACACCTCTCTTAAAAAAAGTATGAATATTTATCCCTTAAGAAAGTACTTACTATGCACCAGATGACAAAGGACATTTCAAACTTGTGAGGGAAGCTAAATATTGATAGGCCTAGAAATGCAAAAACGCATGTTTCTGAAAGAGAAAAAACAGAGATGAACAGTCAACCAGGCTGGATAATGCAAAACCACATGCATGACCCTTTGATGCTGCAGTTTATTAGCACTGAATTACTGTGGCCTGAACGGTGTGGGGAATTCTTAAAAGGACAACTTAATACGTATGCAGCTGCATAAATGAACAGGCAGCTGGAATAGTGTTGTAAAGAGAAATGGAAAGAAGCATTCATGACACCCTGATATTTTCTATTTTCTTCTTAAAGGCTACTGCCTTCCTAGAAGAGGAAACAGGGAGTAGGAGTTTCCTCTTCTGCTTCCTTTGCAGAAAGCTCTAAAATTGGGCTGTATCTCCTTTTATGTTCTTAAGTTGGGGGAGCATACATTGAACTGGTGAACAAAAGCAACAGCAACCCACCCCACCTAATAATTAAAGACCTTGTATGTGTATGCTACCTTTATGAAAACCGTGAGAGAGAGCAGGGACACAGCAGAGAAACAGATGAGAGCAAATGAATTATACTTTGGATGCACAAAGAGCCTTACATTAACCTAGCAGTTCGAAATCACGTCAAAGTGCAAGTAGATAAGTAGGTACCACTCCGGCGGGAAGGTAAACGGCATTTCCGTGCGCTGCTCTGGTTCGTCAGAAGCGGCTTAGTCATGCTGGCCACATGACCCAGAAGCTGTACGCCGGCTCCCTCGGCCAGTAAAGCGAGATGAGCGCCGCAACCCCAGAGTCGGCCACGACTGGACCTAATGGTCAGGGGTCCCTTTACCTTTAACTAGTTTATCAGGAGTAGACAACTGCATGTGCTTAGAATTAATTAATGTGTTTAGCAATTAACAGTGTTGGACTAGGACCAGTGAGAAGAGGGCTCAGCCATGAAGCTCACTAGTTGACCTCAGGCCAATCATTTGTCTCTCAGACTAACCTACCTCGCAGGGTTATTGTGAGGATAAAATAAGGAGCAGGAGGAGAACAGTGTGCACCACCCAGAGCTCCTTGGATGAAAAGTATGACATAAATGTTATGGTGATAATAACAATAAGGTAATCCCCACTTAAAATGACAGACAAAAATGACTAAAATAAGGCAATATCAGAAAGGATGGGCTATGCAGAGAATACTTTTTTAGTCACTTTATATTCTTTTGTATTCATTTGTTACCAGGTCCCCCCCCCCAAAAAAAGTTTCTTTATATCCAAAAGCTTTTAACAGCAATGTAGGCATGTTGCATCTCCTAAATCTAAAAATAGCCTAGGGGGGGAAAGGAGTCAAAGAGATCTATTTTGTTATCAATCTTGTGGCAAGTCTTAGCCAGAGCCCGGAGGATGAGGGAGAGAAAAAGATTTACTGCACATTTTATCTTGTTTGGCAGTAAAGGTGACTTTAGACTGCTTGGCAGACTCCGTATTAGTAAGTCGGAAATGTGTGGAAGAGATACTCCCCTGGCTACAGGAACATTTCTCTCTCTGCCTATAATTCATGTCTCTGAACGGCTTTAAACGGTGGTTAGATGAATTCAGATGTGATCGTTCTGGCAGCGGCTGCTACCCAAGGTATCTTAAGTGTCCAGGTTCACAGGCAGGGGAGGCTGAGGGACAACAGCAGAGGCGAGACATCACCTCCATGCTGGCTTTCCCAGAAACATCTGGATATCCAGTGATGTCCAAGACATTGAACTAGATCAGGGATGGAGAATCTGTGACTCTTCAGATGTTACTGGACTCAGACTCCCATCATTCCTAGTCATGCTGGTGGGGGCTGATGGGAGTTGGAGTCCAACAACATCTGGAGGGCCGCAGGTTCACATCCCTTAGATCCAGTGAGACTCTTATGATAACTTGAAACCACTACTACTTGCTCAAGGTGGGGCGCAGGGTTTTCTTCCTTGCCATTTGATCCTAACAACAAGCCTGTGAGGTAGGTTAGGATGAGAGACTGTGAGTGACTTGTTCAAGGCCACCCCTTGAGCTTCATGGCTGAGTGTGGATTTGAACCCTGGCCTCTCGAGTCCTAGTCCAGCACTCCACCCACTAGGCCACACTGCCTCTCACGCATCATGCTGTGCAGAATAACTCCTAACCACACTGCCCTGAGCTCCATGGCAGGATACAAATGTGAGAAACAATTCCCTGGTCAGGGTTTTTTAATGTCTGATGCTCTATTGAGTTTCAGTTTGTTGGAAGCTGTCCAGTGGCTGGGGCAACTCAGTCAGATGGGCAGCATATAAATGACTAATAATAATAATAATAATAATAATACAGTCATACCTTGGATCCCAAACGCTTTGGTACTCAGACGTTTTGGCTTCCGAACGCCGCAAACCCGGAAGTGAGTGCTCTGGTTTGTGAACGTTCTTTGGAAGCCAAACGTCTGAAGGGGCTTCCGTGGCTTCCGAATGGCTGCAGGAGCTTCCTGCAGCCAATGAGAAGCCACGCTTTGGTTTCCGAACGTTTTGGAAGTCAAACGGACTTCCAGAATGGATTCCATTTGACTTCCAATGCACGACTGTAATAATAATGGCAAGCCAGTCTATAGCTACATGAGAGCTACATGAGTGTCTGGATAATCAGGAATTGTTTGAATAGCTGAAGTTCAGATTAAGGAGACCAAGAAGAAGACAGCATATACCACACATGAAAGCAACGGTCCTCAGTGTCTGCTGCATTAGGATCTGTGTAACCGGCGAGAGGTTATGGTGAGTGTAGTGAGACATCACGATGCCAGAGAACAAAATAGCCATGATACCTGGAGAAACAACAGCACAAATCAGATAAATATTATTTCACGTATCAATGCATAACCTTACAAATCTCCCCCAGCTCTTGCTCATCCCAGACCAATTAGCAAAACATCAACACTGCTCTGTGATGCAGAAAACGGAACGGGGAAAATAAATCAGGAAGTGAGCCCTACTCCACCTTTGGGTGTAAGTTGTTGCATCGACATTGTACAATTAGTTTGGCCAGCTGCCAAAGGCGCCTCAATCATCTGGTTCAACCTGGGCAAACATAGCCAAACTTGTCACTGTCAGGCTTAAAGGACATTTTTATGAGCTCTGAAAGCACAGAAGCTCCTATATATGCAAGGGCTTCCTTATTCTTTTCAAAACTGGAGACAGCTCGGAGGATGGATGCTGATGTTTAGGCATCTTTGAGATTAATGGGAGGCAGTCCCTGCTTATGACGGAGCCTCAGGTTTGTGCTGGAGCTCCTAAAGCACTTTGGATCGGGCTACCAAGCTGCATCACCATATGAGAGGCTGAATCCACATGTTTTCTGCCTTAGGGATAGAAGAGCTATAAATCAAAACATCTACAGGCCAGGAAACGGCACCATCTGTCCTTCCACAGCATGCGCTGCCCAGATTTCAGGGGGGAAAGCTTGCAAGAAACCAAGAAGGAAATAAAATATTTTCTGGGATAGCAGATAACGCTGGACTACATACAGTCTGTGAATATACTGCTTTCATCATCAACAATATTCTCACCCTTCAATGCAGTTAGTAAGCCAGCTCAGGGGGTGGGAGGGGCGGAATCTGAAGTGGTCCCTTCAAGATGAGCACATTTATTGTGGCACAAGGTTTCCTGGGTGAAAGCCCACTGAAACTCAGAAAGCACTATTAACTTGGTACTTTCTTTAGCAAAAGCAGTTTAAAGGACTGGTGAGGTTTGGCTACAAGTTGGTTGAGCTGGAATGGAAAAGAATATGGCTCAGAGCAAGTTACTTTGAGCATTATAGCCTTGCCGGTCAGCAAAATTGGTTAGAGCATGGGGCTGATAATGCCAAGGTCACAGGTTTGATCCCCATATGGGTGCATTTTCTGGCATTGCAGGGGGTTGGACTAGATGATCCATAGGGTCCCTTCCAGCTCTGATTCTATGTACGTATATATGTATGTAGTTTGGGACTTTGAGTCAAGGTTGGAGTCTACTATAATTACAGAAGCCCAATTTTTTTTGAGTTGATGCTTCTTAGTAACTTAGTTTTGAGAGACTATTTTTTTTAATATTTCAATTTTTAAAACAAAATTTATATAAGATTTACTGCATAACTTGTGATTTATCAAACTAAAGGCATCTTGCCAACTATTCAGGAGGTGAGCTCATTCAAGCTTCTACGGAACTGATTTTTTAAATTTATTTTTTTTCAAGCAGACAGAAAAGTGGGTTGAACGTAGCTAAAGCCATGATTCTTTGGCATCCCCCTCCCAATTGTGACTGTGGTCTCAGAGGCCATCTGAAAGTACACCTGAACTATGGTTTTAAAGCTAAGCCCATTGATTCAAAGTCCCTGTGTACTTTCTATGTATTCACAGAGCTGGAAGAAGCAGGCTGAGATATTTTCCAGTAGGGAAATCACCGCATGTACCATCCACGAAAGTCAGATCACACATGACACGTCACCAAACTCCACCTAGACAGCATTTGCCAAGCTCTGAGGAATTTCACTCAGATGTGCAAGTGCTTGCACAAAGGAAATGAAAAACTTCCTATGCAATCAGGACTGGGCTACAGGCACAAAAAGGGGCCAAGCCCCTGCAGCATTAGAACACAGATAGTGATCTGATAGTAGCTGACAGGCTCAGTAAACCTCAGTGTTTCCATAATCCCTTGGCTGATTTTTTTAAAATGCTCAGTTACATAATAACTCAATTTGCCCAATGTAATTCCTAACACTTCATTAAGTGTTTATTAAATCGCTGAATGGGCTCCAAATTTATAATTATTAATAGTTCCACGGTTTCCCAGATTTCATCTGGGATGCACTGCTACAGAAGGGTAAACATGGGATCATCGGGGTCGCCTCAGGATGGGGAGGTTTTTAAAGAAGGCTGATCGCCGAAGAATTGATGCTTTTGAATTATGGTGCTGGAGGAGACTCTTGAGAGTCCCATGGACTGCAAGAAGATCAAACCTATCCATTCGGAAGGAAATCAGCCCTGAGTGCTCACTGGAAGGACAGATTATGAAGCTGAGGCTCCAATACTTTGGCCACCTCATGAGAAGAGAAGACTCCCTGGAAAAGACCCTGATGTTGAGAAAGATGGAGGGCACAAGGAGAAGGGTACGACAGAGGATGAGATGGTTGGACAGTGTTCTTGAAGCTACCAGCATGAGTTTGACCAAACTGCGGGAGGCAGTGGAAGACAGGAGTGCCTGGCGTGCTCTGGTCCATGGGGTCACAAAGAGTCAGACACGACTAAATGACTAAACAACAACAACAGGACGGGGAAGAGCTTGAAAATCCACTCTACATTCTATGTGCCAATACACAAGTGTTGCCATCGTAAGTGAAATGGAAGTGGCCATCAAAAGAGCTGCTTCATGTCTGCCTTAGATGAATTAGATTCACTGTGTAAGCTGTTAGCAGTCGTCCATCATGCCTCCTATAGAATCATAAAGGAACAACCAGAAAGGGAAGGAATAGGGCACCTCTTACATGTAAAGCAAGATGGATTTCAAGCTCTGATGCTTGAGATGAATGGCAGGCAGGCTTAGATGGAACAGACACATCAGAGAGCCACCATGGTGCAGAGGTTAGAGCATTAGACTAGGATGTGGGCAACCAGGGTTCGAATCCCCACTCAGACATGAAGCTCCCTGGGTGAGCCTGGGCCAGCCATTGTCTCTCAGCCTAGCCTACCTCACAGGGCTGTTGAGAGGATAGAACAGAGAAAGAACTGTATGTGCCATCTTTGAGCTTCTTGGAGGAAAGATGGAAAGAAATGTAATAATAAGAACTATAAAACTTGTGGCAAATCAAATGGGAGTTTTCTTAAGTATTTGCAGAAAGAATGAGGGAGAATGTTTCAAATTCTATATGCAGAAACCACCACTATTTGACTGTAATCTTTCACACCCACCCACCTGTGAATATAATAAATGCAAATGGACTTATGTCAAGTCACAACCCCCCAGATGCTTTAGAGGAGCACTTAGGCTCCTTACATTACGTTTCATGGTGATTAAACATGCATTTCCTTCCAAGTCTTAATTCAAGATCCCTTATTTGGTGGCGGGGGTAGGGGTGGGGAGGAGAGTAGGAATGGTGTTAAAAACAGGAGATTGTGTTCCAAGTTCCATTATATCAGACTCTGGAAAGGGACCTGGGTTTCCTGAAGCACCCTTGTTGGTGCTAATGTAGCATTAGCCTTGGGACTAATGTAACCACACAGGTTACATTATGAGCAAAAAGTGTTGGAACCGACTACAAAGCAGGCTTAGATCCATCAATAAGGAGGGAACTTCCTCTTCTTCTCTTCCTATAGACATGACTAAGTTCAACCAAGAACTTTATTTATACAGTGGTACCTCAGGTTAAGTACTTAATTCATTCCGGAGGTCCGTTCTTAACCTGAAACTGTTCTTAACCTGAAGCACCACTTTAGCTAATGGGGCCTCCTGCTGCCGCTGCGCCGCTGGAGCACGATTTCTGTTCTCATCCTGAAGCAAAGTTCTTAACCTGAAGCACTATTTCTGGGTTAACGGAGTCTGTAACCTGAAGTGTATGTAACCTGAAGCGTATGTAACCTGAGGTACCACTGTACAGTGGTACCTCGGGATGCAAACGGGATCCGTTCTGGAGCCCCGTTCGCATCCAGAAGCAAACCTAACTAGCGACAGCACGTCTGCGCATGCGCGTGTCGCTTTTCACTGCTTCTGCGCATGCGCGTGACGTCACTTTGAGCGTCTGTGCATGTGGCGAAACCCGGAAGTAACGCGCTCCGTTACTTCTGGATTGCCACGCAGCACAACTCAAACACGCTCAACATGAAGCATATTCAACCCAAGGTATGACTGTACTACCTAAGTATCAACTTCATATGACGCATGGCTCTTGTACAGCTGTTCTTTCTTCTACCTAGAATGTACAGCCTGAGTGTACAGGATGAGTGTACCTAGAATGTACAGCCTGAGTACACACCCCACCTTGTTCCTTCCCCTGGGTAAAAGTAACTCAGACCAACACCAGGTTTATATGCGTTGGGGATTTAAACCCACTATCCATCCCCTCTCTTTCAGTCTCAGACTGGAGGTTGGGTTCCAGGACACAAATAAACCAAGCATTAGTCTTGGTTAGGTAATACCTTCTACCCTGAGCTACTGGGGTAGAACAAAAGCATGCACTGATCTGAAACAGTGCATTTCCCACATTGTGGAGTTTCTCTACAAAATGTACTAGAGCTCAAGCAACCTCCAGAAGTAGCAGAAGAGCTTTTTATTTGGATGCAACATAGCGGACGCAGAGTCTACTGAAGACTCTGTAGCACAAATTTGGCGCATGAGCTCTACAGCCTTTGCAGAAAATTGTGGACAAGAAATATGTCAAAGAAGCAGAAAGTTCTGACGATCCCAACAGACTGTATATCTTTTTGACAATCTCAAGAGGCCTTGGGCTTATTCGTTTTGCAACTTACCTGAGAGAGAAATGCCTTCTGCAAGTCCGTAGGGAAGATAAGCAAAGATGATCATCATTCCAAACTCCAGGGAAGGAGTTTTCCGTAAATCAATATGCTTCAGCACGTTAATATCAAAGAGTTAAGCAAAATAAAAGAAAGATACGGGAGCAGGAAAATTGGATAAATACAAAAACAGTTCTTTTTTGACCAGGGGAGAACAAGAGGGCTGGTGGTGGAGGTCCCATAGTGAACCAATATATAGGAACCATGAGATATACCCTGTGCAAAGCAGAGTTCTGGTATTCTTCTCTGCATGCTGTATAGTGCAGCGGCAGGCAATGTTGTACACTCCAGATATCCAAGTCCCATCAGCCCCAGCAAACATGACCAATGATCATGGATGGTGGGAGTTGTAATCCAACACCATCTGAAGGGCACCACATAGGCTATGCCTGATATAGTTTCAGGTAGAACAATAGATGGTGTTTTCCTGCCATGTGGTGATGCTCTGTCGGAAGAATCGAATTTTAAAGGCTCCAACAAGCAGAGCAGGCCCACTCTGCATACAAATGCCTGGTCTGCACAACACACTAGGCCAAGTCATGATCTATCAACATTGCACAACTGTCCTGGCTCCTGGAGTGGAGCTTGCAGCCACTTTGCTCCTCACTGGTACTTTTTGATGCCACATGGCACTAAGCCAAGGTTTGCCCTAGCATGTTGTCCAAACTGGGACAAGTGGCTGGCTAAGCTCTCTCCTCATTCGCCACAAGGTGAAAGCAAGGATTTGTCCATTAATTTCAGTGGATCTACTGTGAATATGACTTAGTAGGATATCCCCCTGTATTTTTCACCTTGCAAACTACACTGGAATCAGTTTAGGGAAGGACAGTATAATAAATGTTTTACCTAAATAAATAAAATTATTAGAAAGCCTGTGACCCAGAAACATGCATTTTTCATCCAAATCATTCAGCTGTATGATGGTAACAAATAATGTAAGTTGCCTTTTGCCTTAACACATTATTATGCTCCAGAGCTAAGGTTCTACTTTTTTGAAATGGAAAAATTTAATAGAAGGGAAACGGAACTACTCGCCTCCTCATTTTTGTTCTTCAGTTCTCAGCTGTCAATGATCAAAAGATGAAAAGGTCATCTTCCCACCAACCCAGCTCAACCACAAAGGTTTAATTTTACAAAATAACCCCATTCAGTGTTTGCATTAGGAATGACATGAAAAAGACCATTTGGCTAAAGTTTGCTTTTTTACTTAAAAAAATCTATTATTTACATTAAAAATATACTCTGCCTTTGAAATATACATGCACTGCACTATTTTGAAATCGCCAGCTTGTTTTCCATTTTTTTTCCTCCAGAAATCTTTTGAAGCTGCTTAACTGGTGTTGAATTACATACCACCTGCACTTCCCTGACTTTGCAAGATGAAGTCAGTTGGAGATGAAGTCAAGCACCATTAAAAACGCAAGACTATGTCAGCACAAAGGAGACACAATCTCTGCAACCCTAGATGCGGCTCTAGTGGAGGGACTCTGGAGTTCAAGCTAGTATGGAAAGCCAATTCAGTTTTACATAAATCCTTAATGAATGAGAATGATGGCCCAACAAGCGGTATATACATTTGGGGCTATGATGCACAATTAATCTTTCCCTTTTTCTTCCCCTCCCCCCTCCCCCTTCCCCCCCCCCCAAGAGTTGAAGGACAACTTACTAAGCATTGAATCATATGAAGCTATAGTGGGAGGGGAGGAATTTCCCCAAATTGGGCAGAAGAATTTCCCCAAATTGGGCAGAAGTCGGGCAGAATCCCTAATCTGCTTATGGGATGTTTTATACATATGAAAACTGGAGCATATGCTAACAAAAATGACCCATTACTGAAAATGGAATTACTGCATTAGGACTAGCACAGCAAACAATCAGCATATTTATACCCCTCTATTAGTATGTGTGATGAGCTATTATACAGTAGCTTATGCCTTAATGAGAGCTGCATAGAAATGCAACGGTTTAATGCGATCCAAAATCACTGCCCACTGGCACTGCTACGATTAAAAACGAAATGGAAGAGAGGGAACAGAATGCCAACAAAAAGGCTTTTGAGGTTTTTGGGTTTTGTTTTGTTTTTTTAAAAAAGATAATCTCCGTATGAAACATGACCGAGGGTCATTATTAAAATGGAAAGGCATTCTGCTTTATGCATCTGCTTTACTTTACCTAAAAGCGAAGGATATTACTGCAGAAATAAGGCCGGTTAGAGTTCCCAGCGCTGCGGAACCAAAGAACATCTTCAGAAAGTAACCCAAGGCCTGCAGAAAAGTTTGCCATCCACTCACATCTGACGTATGTTCTCTTGTCAAGCCTTCTGCTGTGCTGGGAACAATTAAAAAAAAAAAGGACAAGGAAAGAGGCTACATATTTGAATCTTATGACTTGCAAGCTCCGCACCATTAAAAAAAAACCTCATCAACCTCTATTTCTTTGTTGAAACTGCTCTTAAAATGCTTTTACTGTGATATAACAAGTAGAATGTCAAGAGGCATTAAATCAAGTGCTGATGCAATCCCCCCCAGGGGGAAACGCAACTCTACTGAAAAAACAACAATAATCTGGAAGTCTAGCTTCGCTTTGTGTGATGCTCTTAAGCAATGGTACAAAATAAGCCAGGAAGATGCCTGCTGCAGCAAAATAGATGGGAATATGTCTAAGCAAAGAGGAGATGCACTTTTTAAGACTAAACCCACCAGCAGAAGGCCCAGACACACACACTCTCTCTTTCTGTGTGTGTGTGTTACAATGCTGGATAGATCCTGCCTCCTTGGAAAATATTATCTACGAAAAAAGAAGGTGCTCTTTCCTTTGATCAACAAGGCAGGTGAGAATGTGGGAGGGAAGCATTCTGTGTGTAAGCAGGGATCAAAGGAAAAAGGCAGATCAGGACATTGGAGGTGAATAAAACTGGAAGGCTGAGACCCTTGGGATTATAAACAAAGCATCAGGTCATAAAGCTAAGTACACTTAGGGAATAGGGCTATTTCATATGTTATCTGGAGGCAAAGCGGGGGTCTGACAGCAAAATGCTGCAGCCAAAAATCACAACTCCCTGACAAGCAAAGAGGAACATTATGGCATGTACTTACTTTGTTAACACAATTGAGACAGCATCGTTGAGAATACTTTCCCCAAAGACCAACATGTTAAGCACAGGATCCACATTGAGAGCATTAAAGATAGCAATGGTAGCTACTGGATCGACAGCGGAGATCAGGGAGCCAAAAGCAAAGCTGTACAAAAAGGAATAAACAAAAGTGTTAGCATTGTTTTCAAACTATTTAACGCTACTGTACATGTAATAATAAGCATCGCTGAGCAGTCCTGGGATGCATCAATGGATTAAAAAAAATAAATCAGTTTTAACAGGAGTGACTTTTCACACTGGAAGACAACAGCTACCAAAAACTAAGTGGCAATATCCTTTTCAAAATCCTTTTGATCAATCTGTTAAGTGAAATAAACTATTACCAGATCAAATGTGTGTGTCTGTGTGTCACTTTGAACTGATTCTCACCATGTTACTAATTCAAAATGAAGGTTGTGAGCATCCTGGAGCAACCCAGTCAGATGGGTGGGGTACTACTACTACTACTACTAATAATAATAATGTTTAAGTTTTAAAGAACAGGGCACTGTTAACAAAGAAAGAAGCAGCTGGGAAAGTTCTGCTACCCATTAACCGGCCAAATCTGAGTGAAAACCAGCAGGCATTATCTCGCCAGTGATCATCATAAGCTGAGAAATCATTTACACCTGCTTTTCAGATTTCTCAGCAGTTGCACTTCTGCTTTCGCAAGTACATATTTTTGATCAAACGTCCGTCATATTTAGCAGTAGTGGCTTGTACCCCCGGGAGGGTAGGGCAGAAGGCAAGGAGACCAACAGCAGGTGCAGCCTGAGGCAATGGCAGGCATAGCCAACTAATTCTAGTTTTGTCTCCACCCTCCTCTCTACTGAGATCTACAAGCATAACACAGAGTTTAAGAAGGAAGAAGTTGATAGGCAGTCCTGCTCCTTGGATTGGTTGTAGGTATGAAGGCATGCAAGTGGGGGCTGGTTGAGGGTAGATCCCCCTTTCCCTAAGGGAGCAGTATTTGCAATGGTTACCCATGCTATTTCTCTTTAGACACAAAGCATCACTATTAAGTGATGCTTAATAACAAGCCAACTGAAACGTTATAATTAATACAGAACAAAGTGGTGCAGATGAGACTAAGGTGACTTCTTATCCACAATTAATAGACTGGAAGGGCTCGGTACAGAATTGTGTCCTCCTTCTCCTGCATCTCCTGCCCTCCCTGGCACAAATTTCCACATTAGCCATAGCTGAGAACTGAATCAGCATGGAATGAGCTGTGGTTGCAGGCAGTTGGGTTCCCACCTTTCGAGGATCTGCCAACCACTCTTCAAATAAGTACCAATTTCATCAAGAGGTATCATTTTGGAGAATCTCTTGCACTAATAATAGATAATGACACAGATTCTGCCAAAAACTTACCTGTCAGTCATGTTGAGCTTATAAATAACGTCAGCCTAGAGGGGGGAAAGCAACGAAAACAGAAAAAAGACTTTTAAAAAATTAACTTTTGTGCTTTTAAAAAACTTGTATTTTTGTGCCATGAAAGAAGCATGCGTCCTAGAAAATTCTGACAAATGAGAACACTTACAGTTGCAGCTCATACATCCTAATTAATTTATATACTGCCATAGTGTGAAAAGCAGACTCTGTAAAAGACTGAGAACACTGAAGACCAGATAACTATTTGGCATTACAGGTTATCAGAATCTTAATTTACTGTTCAGAGAAGCATAAGGAAGCAGCACAGCTTGCTACAACAATTTTGTTTAAAAAATGAACCAAAACAGGATCAGGTATAGTATTAGACAGTACAGTAATCCCACAACATGCGTCTATAGCTAAAATCGTCAAAACACACTGGGTTTAATAGCAGGTGGGATTGACAAAGTCCCTTTTCCTGGACACCTGCCTCCTTTCCGCCCTCTGTTTAATTTTTAATTTTTTCCAATGCATACAAGTTAAATGCTAATGAATGTGTCATGGGCTGGTTGGATTCAGAGGAATTGTGGGGGGAACCAGCTAGGGAATCCCCAAGGGAAGAAGACTCAGAGCCTGGGGTGTGGTGGTGGGATGAAGACAAGTGGTCAGAGGGAGAAGAGGGAGAAGCCTGGGGGGAGGAGGTGTCGGAAGATGAAGAGGTAACAGGGCTTAGTGAACAGGAAGAGTGTGTGGCAGAGAGAAATCCAGAATCATAAGCTGAAGCAGGAGAGGAGGGAGGCCAAGATGTAGAGATGAGTCAGGCTAGTGAGGAAGCGTGGGGGTCTCTTCCTCTTGCTGTGATCAGCTCTGCTTCCCATTGATCCCCCAGGACCAGTAGAGGCATGAAGTGAGAAGAGCAAAGATAGGCATGCCGGCACAGTCTCAGATTGCCTGGGGACAACCCTGGAGAGGAGGAGACTTAGGCAGCTGTGGGAAGATGGGGACCTTTAGTCTCTGCAACTGCTTCAGAAGAGCAAGGCCTACTGAAGGGACTTGCTGTGCTCATTAGACCTGGCACTGCTGTGTCGATCCTATTTTTCTAATAAAGAGTTAACTTCACCTACGCTGTGTGATTTACAGCTGGTTCGCTTCTGGCAAAGTGTTATTTTGGCACCTAGAGAAGGGTTGGTGGAACATTTCCAACTTAAGAGCTATATTTCCTCTTGGCTAACCTTCTGAAGAGGGATGCAGATGGTGCTGTGGGTTAAACCACAGAGCCTAGGACTTGCCGATCAGAAGGTCAGCAGTTTGAATCCTCGTGATGGGGTGAGCTCCCATTGCTCGGCCCCTGCTCCTGCCAACCTAGCAGTTCGAAAGCACGTCAAAGTGCAAGTAGATAAATAGGTACCGCTCCGGCAGGAAGGTAAACGGCATTTCCGTGTGCTGCTATGGTTCGCCAGAACTATAGTCATGCTGGCCACATGACCCGGAAGCTGTACGCCGGCTCCCTCAGCCAATAAAGCGAGATGAGCACTGCAACCCCAGAGTCAGCCACAACTGGACCTAATGGTCAGGGGTCCCTTTACCTTCACCTTTAAGCTTCTGAGGGCTGCATGCCTATGGTGGGAGGATCCAGAGGCAAGAAGTGGGTGGAGCCAAGGGTGTGACAGAAGTTAACCATGAAAGTGCCGGGGGGGGAGGAGAAGACAGGCAGACAAACCCTCCATCTAGGCAAACAGGAGAATTATGCAACATTCAAGTACACATTATTGAGGTGGACACAGAGCAGGGCCAAGGGGGCCTGGCATGAGTAGAGTCCAAAGAGCTGGATACAGAAGCCTGGAAGGATGCATTTGGCCCCTGGGCCTGAGGTTTCCCATCCCTTCCCTAGAGCACATTGCACAAAATAAGAGGGCCACAGAAGGCTATATACTGCCATCATGCTTAACAGAAAATAGAATAAAATGTAGTATGACACAGAATCATAGAACTGTAGAGTTGGAAGGGATCCCAAGGGTCATTTAGTCCAAGCCCCTGCATTGCAGGAATCACAGCTAACATAAAATGCACCAGAGTGGGACGCTAACAGAAATAAATGGATCATAGAAGCCTATGGAGAATGAGACGGTCAAGAGATGCTTTACTGAGGTGAATCAGAAGACCACAGAAGGACTGACCCCCCGCTGACTACAACGAATGATAAATTACAGGGTGCGGAAATGGGCGCTGGTGGTTTTCTTGGCACATTTGGAATCAAACTGGACAAGACATAAGAAATCTATTAATAGATATCCTGGTATTTCCTTAAAAGGGAAGAGGAGTAGCAGCTACTGAGGGCAGGAGGGAGATTAGGGTAATAGCACTGAGGGAAGGGGCTGAAGCGTTTTGTCTACAGTTTTCCTAAAATAAATCCTCTCTCCTGAAACTGCTATTTGCCCCATTGGGAAACATGTCTGGGTAAATGCAAGACTTAAACTTGGTATGGGACAATGAATGCGACAATGCTGTGATTGGTGAAGGGGCTCAAATGAGGAGACTAAGCTATCCACTTAGGTTACACAACACTTTTAATGAGGGACGGGGGAAGATCCGAATTAATTAAAATATATCTGCAAGGCAACAGTAAAGAGCACATTAGCTTGCAGAAGCATGAGTCGTAAGCAGAACAAGCAAATTACTTGCTCATACTTTGCAATGTTCATAATATAAGCAAGCTCTTATACAAGAAACAGATCTGAAGGGCAAAAGCAAGGAAGATGTATGACCACTTGAAAAAGCTGAGACAATGGCCTGGTTCTCCTGCAATATTAAATCGTGGTTAAAATAAGCTATGCCACTGAAATCACAAGCACTACGCTCCTTCTCCACTCCTACTGGGAAAGAAGTCGTGGTCTGGCTTGTGTTACCTGAACCTTGTTTCACTCAAACTACGAGTGCTAAGTGGCTTCCCTTGTGGTCTGTTTCTGATGAAACAAACCATGATCAGAAAAAAGAATAAGCCAGATCATGCAGAGGCAGATTTAGGGGAGTGCAAAACCCGTTCAGTCACACTGGGTGCAAAGCCTCAGGGGCACCGCAACTATGAGTTAGATTGGAGCATGAGAGGAGAGGCAGAGGGCGCTGAATTTTGTACAGCTGGTTCTTCCTGCATAAGTGCATAACCTTGCACCAGTCCCAACTGAAATTTATTTTGTTAGCTTTGGCTTACAATTGTAAATTTATAGTCATTTCATTGCAATGATTGGTTTTATTCAAGGTGTAAAATATATTTTTATCTTTACGGTTGTAACAGTATTTTATACATTGCCCTGGGTGCCGAAATGGCAGAAACGATATTATGATTATTATTTTTTGGCAAACACAACATGAAAGTGATATGAAAAGTTGACTTACAATGGCTCCCTTGCAAAGACTGCTGGACACATTGCAAAGTCTCTCTCTTTCTCCTCTGTGAACAATGGCCCTCTGGGATACCGTAGTCTAGGGCAGGGTTGACTTAACCATGATGCTAGGTAAGAATTCAGTCCCTGCTGCGGTATAATTAATTACCAGGAGTTCCCTGGTGTGAAAAATTTGCTTTCTTTCCCCTTGCACTGGGATTTATTAAAAGTCTCTGCAGTTCAGAATACAGTAGCTGCTTAAAGTAGCATAAGGCAGAGGAGCAACAACTGGGTGGTATACAACAGTAGTCATACTCAGACTCAGTGAAATCAATGGACTTAGGTCCACTGATTTCAGTGGGCCTACTCTGAGTATAACTATCATCAGTTATCACCAGCTGTTTCTTCCTCATGTAAAATACCAACATGGTCAGCATGAAAAGCTGAATACAGTGGTACCTCGGGTTACAAACTTAATTCGTTCCAGAAGTCCATTCTTAACCCAAAGCGTTCTTAACCTGAGGCACGCATTCCCTACATAGGCCTCCTGCGGCCCTGGAAGTGGATTGCATTCGTATCCCGGGGCAAAGTTCGCAACCCGGGACACCTACTCCCAGGTTTGTTGAGTTCATAACCCGAAGCGTTCGTAAGCAAGACTGTTCGTAACCCGAGGTACCACTGTACCTGTAATGTGTAAGATGGAGATGATAACTTGTTGAGGGTGCTTCTGATCAGTCAGTAGAGCATGAAACTCTTCATCTCAGGGTTGTGGGTTCGAGTCCCACATTGGGCAAAAGATTCCTGCATTACAGGGGGTTGGACTAGATGACTCTCATGGTCCCTTCCAATTCTATAATCCTATAATTCTATGAATGCCCAGGTGGGGGGTGGGGTTTGAGAGGAAAAGGAAGGGAATATTCTAATATGCCATCAAGTTACTCTAAAATTTCTGTATACACACACCTATGAAATTTATCTTTAAAAAAAGAATTTTTTTTAAAAAAAGAATTTCCTCAGCACTTCTGGATATTTCTCCCTTGCTTTTTGCCCCGGTGGGAAGGTAGTTCTCTCATTTCTGAATCCCTCATGTCATTCAGCTTGGCCCTATTCCTAGATCAACATCACCAAAGACTCTTTGATCCTGGTACGATGCAACATTCAGTCCAAGAGGGAATGTGGATTTCTGAAGGTTGCGTCTGACATTACACTGTTCTGCTTGACGAATCAGCCAGAGTAACAGCCCAACCCTGCACCCCGAATGTTGCTGACCCAAGTCTGCTTGCTAGTTGTGTGTCTGAGATGCCAATCTTTCCAGCGCCACAAAGTCTCGTGTCTTCAGGCATTTCTTTCCACAATCCTGTATGTGGGTCAAAGGACCCAGTCCTTAGCAGAGGCCCAATATTTCACACCACAACAAACAGCATGCACTCAGGCAACCTCACCTGACCCAAGAAGTAAATTCCTCCACCGACAATGAAAGCCGAAATTGCTGTCCCAATCACAGAAAACAGTGTGATGGAGCCGATGTTCTGAAAGAAGTTGCCCTAAAAACAGGTGGAGGGGAGGAACAAACAATAGTGAGTTTAGAGAGGACTTAAATCTGGGTGAGGAATCATCTGGGTTCAGATCCGGAACCTGGAAGCTCAGCCTCTGAACGCATGAAGTAATCATAAAGAATAATGTACTGGAGAAGCACAGAATGTGTTTGCCCATGAGTAAGTAAACAGAGCTCAGCCATGCATGGCTAGGGTTAGCAGACAGGGCTTTCAGAACCTGGGGCGCTGACTTCTAGGAAGGCCTAGCATCTCATGTTCTTAGAAGCTAATTGCAAAGTGCAGACATTTTTTCATTCTATTAGAGCAAACAAAGAAGCAAGTGCTTTCACAACTGTTTGGTTTTAAAGCTGCTGGGGCACTTACATGCCCCACCCTGATGAGAGCAATCAGTGTGCAGAAACAAGGCTTTCTCCAAGATAAAATAGATCACTGGCTGGCGGAACAGATTGTTGCCACCCACCTCGCCCAACTAACTGCCTGTGTAGCTGATGCAAGGAGGTACAATCTTGGCGCTTCCCTTCCTCAGATCAGTACTGATATGATTATTAAATGCATTTGAGCCAGATGAACCAAGACTAAGGTACTCTCTTTCCCCTACTTCAGGAAGCACTCTGGAATTCTGCCCTGTTGGAATCTTTCTTTAGTGGATCTAGTGGAATCTTGTGGACTGCAATGCTGGTATTGGGCATGGAGATAGTCAGGCCTTGCAACAAAGGACTGAACTAGAACGCTCTTTGGTTTTGACTTTTTTTTATCAAGGCATAAGTAATGAAGGCATGATAATGAAAGATACAAGCCTCAATATTAGGCTCACCCAAGTTCTTCTCTTAAGGGCTGGTTCAAACATGTATGAATGGCCCATCACATCATTGAGGTACCATGATGAGAAATTAACATTCTGCCTTTCCCAAGAGTTTCCAGCACTTTAGTAGCTAAGTGATGCCAACCCTCAGATACACTTGACATAAAATGATGAAATTTTAGTGAATATCTCCTGTCAACTCCAATGTAGCTGTAATCACAGCACTGCCCAAAACACAAACATAGCTACAAAGGATCTACGATTTCTCACCTTGTGTAATGAATACCCAGATTCAAATATAATTGGTGGAAGTAAAAGAAGAAAAAACATATTTGGGCGAAACATTTCTTCTTCCTGTAAAATACAGTAGACAAAAAGATATATGAGAAGGAAATTTCAAAAATTGTAATTAAAAGGATAGCACATCTGGAACAAACAAACCCAACTCCAGCTTTTTTGAAGCGTCTACCAAAATGGGAATATTTTAAGAAACAAATACACTAGGAAAGGAATTTTATATTAATCTACCTCAAAACCCACCGTAAAGGGGGCTTTAGGACAGCAAACATCCTCAGGATTACCTTTAAATTGCCTTTCATTCAACTGCTGAAAAAAGGAAGCACAATTTGAATTGCTACATCCAAATAAATAGCGAGGGAAAGCGAGCCTACTGTGCCGCAAAAAACTACATTTCACTATAGGAAATACTGAAGCATTCTTATCTTTGGCTTTCAGAATCAGAAATGCAATCAGTAATAAGTGGAACTTTAATATGGATGTGGAACTGTGATGGGTTCTATCACTGATTGTCACAGATGCACGCTATCTACATTGACAAAGGTGGCTTCCATACTATGGAAAGTCCTCCTTCCACAGTGTGGAGGCCACAACAGGTGCAGAAATTCCAGGCAGAGATGAGATACAGGAAATACATTGTTCTTGTAGCTCAGCATCTGCACTGGTTCCTTATAGATAGTAAGCATGTTTCAAAAGGCTTGCTTTGACCAAGAAGTCTTAAATGCCACGTTTTACAATCCACAGGTACCACCCCTTTCCTAAAGCCCAGTCATGACACCTACCATCAGCTGGGAATACTCTTAATGGCATTTTATTGGTGAACTATAATGGACTATAAAGCAGCATGGTCACTTCTTGGTCCAGAGCTAAGAGATTTCCCTTTCTCTGACAAACACTAAAGAAAGAGTGTACATTCTGACCCGTTAGATTATATCTGATCTTTACTGAGCATCTGTTTGTGGGGATATTATGTAACAATGAACGTTCATCCTGATTTGCTTGCAGGGTGTTCATATGTCTTCCCTTTCATCATCCATTCATCCCACCCTGTTCAAAATTTCTCCATCACTTTCCTAACTGCAAAAAGTCTATTTCTTTTCTCAAGTGGATTTGTAGTGCTAGAGTGACAGAGTACTTTAACCCACTTTAATTGTTCCAGCTTTATGTGCCTGAACCACCACCCGCCACACAAAATAGCAGAGGCACCCTAAACAACTCTCTGAGGCTGCATGACCCAAGCAACAGATTCACACTCATTCTTCAGGGGCCATAGAGGTCAGTTAGTAGCAATAGATACTTCCCAGGCTGCTTCCCCTTTTTCTGCCCAAACCCACTAAGGGAAACAGCTACATAAAACACACAATTCAGTCCAGCACTGAAACCTCAAGTGTTTTCAGCGTTGGCTCACTAGCCCAAACAGGTAACCTAGGCACAGGTGGAGATCCCACCAGGGAGAAAGGCAATAGCAAAGGAACTAGTCAATAGAGAGGGGTCAAAAAGGAAGTCAAGAACAAGAGTCAGGTAGATACTCCATAGCTAAAATGAAGGACAAGATAGTGGCTCTAGGGCAGAGTGGGGAATCAGGGAGGGTGTAGTAAGATGTTTTGAAACTCAGAATTGTGGCTCCAGGTCAAATCCTCAAATACTAAGTTATTCAGTGATCCACAAAGCTACACAGGAAGGACTAACAGCTGCTTTTTCCTCCAAATATTGCAAATCTCTGATATTAATATAATTGATGGAGCTTAAAAGCTCACATATTGTGGGTGTTGGGGAAAAAGCTTAACTCAGACAAATTGGTTTTAAACAGTCATTTGCCACACTTTCTGTTTTTTAAATGCTGCAAGCTGACATCAGCAAAACCATTTTGTCAATTTCTCATGGCTTTCTCCTGCATTTTATATTTACAAGTACAAGATTTGTACTGGAAATTACATAGGGCTGCAGATTTTTTAAGTGCTGACTTTTAAAGTCCGTCATTCCAATTGAATATCAGGCTTGTAAAGTGCTGATAACCCTTTTTTAAAAAAGAGCTGAACACATTTCGTGATTTGAAGTAGACCACATTTTTTATTATGATTCTTAAAAAAGAAATCTAAGCAACTAGGTATTGTTATATAACCATTACAGGTGGGATGGGGAATTGAATCAAATGGATGGAAAAGGGGGTAGATAAAGAGATATAGTGATATAAAAAGTGTAGAGAGAATTATCTCATTGTCTAGACAGATTATTTCCTGTTTCACAGTGAAGAGCTATTTTGCACCAGGGCGGAAGTGAAAGTTGCCCATAAAAATAAACAGAGAAACCCAATACTTTAATATAGCTGGGATTAAGGACCAGGGTGTCCATCCCCACCCTAATGTCAAAAGCTCTATTATAGCACCCACCTTTTGCAATGCCCACCCCCAGGTAATTCATGAGGTGGAGACAGTAATTGCCTTTAAACACCTCTTAATCCCTTCCCAAAACCATAAAAACTGGTGGCCATCCCCACATCCTGCGGCAAGGCAATTCCATAAAGTAATGACATCTGCCGCTCCAAGTACGATCCCCAGCACCTCCAGTTTAAAGGTCTTTCAAGGTAACAGGACCACAAAATATTTCTTGGGAGATTCTGGAGAGCTGCAGTTAGGCAAAGCGGACAACACTTAGATTAGCACTGATCTGTTTGTATGCAAACTTCCTTCCCTAGCTGTTTCTGAAACTAGACAAAAGCGGACTGGGTCAAAGCACTGTGTAACTGCAGCAGCCTGTAGTGGGGAAACGGAAGCCCAACAGATGCTCCCGAGATACAAAAAGTAGTAGTTAAAGGTATAAAAGAGCATAGGGCTGGTTGGGAGCAGGCAGTACTTAAAGCAGGGATGGGGAACGTTCAGCCCATGGACAAAACTTGGCCCACCAAGGCAGTTTTCCCCAAACCATGCCCAGTTGCCCCAAAACTTATGACTTATGTGGCACCATACATGATGTCATGCGAAGCCGTGGCTGTTGCACAGAGAGTTCAATCCTGCTTGGTTCAGATGCATCAGCCAGTCCCCGCTGGTGTGGCTGGTGTGCCCAAAACAGGTAGGGTTGAACCTAAGTGCATATGCCTTAAAGGAACATGCTGGACAGTTTTTAGCTACTGGATTTTATTTTTCATTCACTGATTCGGCTCGTTTTTAGCAGCATTTCCAGGTTGGCTAGAGATGAAGAGTGCCCAGTTAAGCTATGTCGGAACCGTAAGTGACAACTTGTGCTGCCTGCCTCCTATCCTCTCCTGCATCTGGGCAGGAGGGAGGGAGGGAGGGAGGGAGAGAGAGGAGACTGTTGAACTGCGGGAAGGAAAATGAGCTGCAACTAGAAAATTATTAGGAATGGGGCACACATCTCTCAGAGTGCTAACATCTGTGTGGCAGGGGTGAGGGTAGGTGCAGGCAACTGTATTCCCCTTTCCGAGTCCCCTGGACTAGCCCAGTGCTTCTTAAATGGTGATGCCCCAGGCAGCTGCTGCTGCTACTGCTTCTTTTGTTGGGCTGGGATGACCAGTGCAAGATTCGTCCTGCTTCAGGGATACAAAGCAAGGAACCCTAAGTGGCACTTCTTTGGCTTGCTCAAATTAAGCGCAGCATAAAAGATATGGTAAAAAAACCCAAAAAGTTTAAAATGTTGTCGGAGTACCTTCCAGTTGGCTAGCTTTTGAGCTTCTATAATTTTTATAAATGCTCCCATGAGGATACCTAAAAGGAGAAAGAGAGAAAAGCACAATATGAAACGTGAAAATCAGAGTGAACTTGACTCATCAGAGTGTTCAGGTGCTCAGTTTTGTGTGAACACAAAGATTTTTTGTGAACACAAAGATTTAGAGTGGTGTCACCTCACCTAAAGGACAATCCTGTGCACATCGCAACTATGACTCAGCCCACCCCAGCTCCAAAACACAATTCCACAATCCAGGCAATGATAATACATTTCATGCAAATACAGTTGTACCTTGGAAGTCGAACGGAATCCATTCCAGAAGTCTGTTTGACTTCCAAAGCATTCAGAAACCAAAGCACTGCTTCTGACTGGCTGCAGGAAGCTCCTGCAGCCAATCAGAAGCTGCAGAAGCCCCGTTGGACGTTCGGCTTCCAGAAATAGTTTGCAAACCGAAACAGTCACTTCTGGGTTTGCGGCTTTCGGGAGCCAAAAGGATCAAGAACAAAGTGTTTGAAAACATGACTATAATAGCAAAATATAAATGGCAGCATATTGACACCATGGGGTTATTAAGTCTGCACACATAGCTTATCATCGTCCATTTCATTTAGATACCTATTTAAACTGCTTATATTAATGTATAAACATGATTCATAGACTATTATTGTTAACGTCAGCTGCCAATGGATTTTTGTTGCTGTTGTTGTTTTCAATCGACGTCAGTACAGATTCAGTGAGCTTTGCTCATTCTCCTCCCCTTTCCACCCATTTTCCTTCTCCACCTATGTTTTTAGGCAGAGTACAAAATAGCCAGGGCTCCAGGAGATGCATAGCCTTATGGTATTCCCTGCCACCAAATATCCAGGAAATCCTTGCAACCCAGAAGGAAAAAAGGGAGGCTAAAAGGAGATCTCTTGGCCTCAGTTCCCCTATTGCAAACTTGAAACAACGACCTGGTAGCCTGACTGCAGAAAACAAAGAAGTCATTGTTCTACTGGATTGGTAATGCCTTGGTTTCTCTTCCTTAATAGTTCATTCCTTCTTCCTCTAAACTCTCAAGGAAGGAACCTTCTAACTCCTCCTTCTAACTTAGTTGTTCTTAAACTTTTTTCTCTGGGCCACACTTTCAGAATAAAAATTTGCTCGCACCACACCAATTTTTCATTGATAAAAAATGCATTGGAAAACAAAAAGAAACAACTCCTCGCAATGCTTGATTTATAATATAGAACACAACCACTCCATAATATGAACACCCAGAAAATACAAAACAATGCAACTGCATAAGAACATAACTCATTCCCAAAATATAATTATAAATGAGCCTCTTACATGTGTACTTTACGTATGCAGACAAACTCAATGAGAGGTGTGACCTTGTTTGAGAGGTGATCTCATTTATCTTAGGTTTAATTTGAAACAAACTCTCATATCCTCATCAACACAAAGAAGCCTCTCTCGTTTCTGAACTTTCATATTTCTGAACTATAAAAGTTGAAAACTCCTGTTCACCCACAATATGTTGGACAGAATTGCAGAATAGCCAATATTCTTGCTCTAATTTGGAAAAAATATCTATCCATACGCTGTTGTATCTGTCTGTCTGCTTGTCTGTCTAGCTACACAAAACTACACTACACAACACTATTTAAATGTTTCTTTGATTGTCCTTGAATCTTCCCACTACACTTGCCATCCCCTTCTGCCTCACCTTTTGAGAACCACTGTTCTGTGCTCGCTTCGGCAGCACATATACTAGAACCACTGTTCTAACTCAACTGAGATATCTGCAGGTCTGTCTGGCACCTATAGTTTGTACAAGATTCCGCCCTCTCCCCACATAAGTGAAATCACGTAAAGTGGGGGGCACCCTCTAATCACCGTTTTGGCCACTCTATCTCTTCAATCCACACAGAAAATACTGTATCCCCAAATATCCACAACTAGAACTGAAGTTCTGGGGCTGACAGGAGGCTGGAGGATGCAAGGGAAAGCAGCTACTGCTGCTGAGCTACCCCGCACATCAGCTGTCAGGCGTGGAAGCTGAGCAGCATAAACAAAGCCCTGCTGCGCCTCTGGTCTCTCTGGGCTCTGGGGAGGGTCTTCTTGCAAGTCACGAGGTCTCTCTAGCCCTCTCCCACCATTTCCGGGTTTGAATTCAATCATTTATTTATTTCCCGACGCTGCTTGTGCACGAGGCAATCACACATAAGTGTGGGTGGGGGAATGCTTGGATTTACTTCAACACAGAAAAGCATGTGTTAGGATGCAGGAGCAATTCTTTATTCTAACTCTGGAAGATATGGTTTGAGAACTGGAAGTGAGAGTTTGGAAGGGTATTTTTTTAGAAGAGGCAGATGCCACTCTGACCTACAGAAGTGATCAAAAGAGCATCACATGAACTGCTCCTGATGAATGTGTTGTAACGCAATATACTGTGAAAATATGAAGCTTGTTTGTCTTTCAGGGACAACCTTCTAAGTATAGGATGAACCCTTAAAAAATTGCAACGAAGGGAGAGGGGGAGAAGTGCAGCTACAAACCAAAAAGAAAGCAGTGTGTGATGCAACAGAATTTTTCTCTTAATCTTTTAAACACAGGAAGAAGAAGAAGCCCAACTTATATTTACTTGTGGAAGGCATTTCTTTTCCAGCAAGCCTTTGGGTAACTGTGTGTTCAAGACTGAGTTGTTGCATTATTTTGTGGATTTTCATTTTAAACAGCATTTTTGTTTTACCTGCTTCTGCTGTTTGTTGTGACCCACCCTAAGATCACATGTGACGAGGCACAGGTCATGTAAATCTCACAAATAAAGAAACAGTTGAGAAGCAGAAGCTATGCAGAGCTGACTCCCACTAATTCCAGCAAAGTCATCCTTCCTCCAAGGAACATACAACCAAAACCAGCCAATCAAATGGAACAGCGTCAACTGAGCCTTCTCTAATCTGCCACTTTCCAGATATTCATAGAAACTTGGAATCAGAAGGGACCCCTGCAATGCAAGAACCTTTTGTCCAGTGTGGGGCTTGACAACTACCCCTTCAGTTCAGAACTGTAGGCAAGCTTTCCAGATACCTTGCAAACTTAAAACAGGTTATGCTTACTTTGTCCTTAAAAATTGTTAACAAGGCTTTGGTCACATTTGCATTTCATAGGCTGGAAGAGAAGACCTACATTTCCAAACTTGGCAGGCCGTGTTGAACAGCTCAATCTATTTCCCACAACCCACAGTGCTGAGAAGAGTTTGCTTTCTTTCTTTTTTAATTAAGAAGTTTTATGAAATCAGAGAGATTCCAACTGAAGAGTTTCCTAAGCGTAGAACATGATGCCCTGCAGGCATTTCCATAGAAAGCTACAAAGGTATGCATGTAAAATGGGACAGGTGAGCTTATTTTGGAATGGGTGGAATCTCCTAGCCAGCAGGAAGGATGTGATAGAAAGCAAATCCACAGGAGAAACCAAGAATATTGCTTAAACAATAAGATTCAGCAACTGATAGGAAGGTATCTGAATACTGGCTGGCAAGCTTTTATCGAGAAACAAAACGAGAGACAACTTGTTCCAAACTATGCTTGATGTGTCACTTCTGCACTGAGTGAACTGTGGGAAATGTCATAACATAGCTGATTGCTTGAAATCTCAAGAGTGACACATTTTCCGTAACTGTTCATAATTAATGCTTTCGTTCCCCATACACATTTTACTTTAATCTCTTATGTATTACACATTCATCTGTCGAAGAATAGAACCTGCTACATTAAGCCTGTTCAACCAATTTTCAAACCTGCTGCTAAACACACACACTTCAACATACCAGCTGTTATGATACCAACTTCTTTTGTAAGCTTTTCAAAATGCTCCAAAACACATTTAGCCTGGGACAGACCAGGATGTGGATAGGAGACCAAGTGCAAATCCAACATAGGTTACCACAAATTCTGCCTCAGGCAAACATAAAAACCAGCCAATTTTTTAAAAAACCAGTAAAATCAATTAAATACTTTCCATCAACCACATAAAAGTGGTTGTTGCTTTTTCAAAAAGAGAGACCAGCAAAATTCACAAGGCAGAGGTTCAGAAACAAGATCTGAGTGCTTAACAATGCTCATCACAAAGGAAAGAATTAGAAGGCCCTCAGTTCTTCTCCAGCTCAGACTGGAAGCCAAATTAGAGAAGAGTTCTCAGTTTACCTCCCCATTCAGTCCCAAAATAGCCGGTGCGGAGCAAATAGTGGTTACCGCTGAGTAACTTCTTGCCTCAAGGAGTCTACAAACATAGGAAGCTGCTTCTTGCCCATCAAACCCAGTGTTTGTACTCCTGGGATCTCAAGCAGGATTCTGATCCATCACTTAATATCTGACCCTTTTAACTGGGTTTTAAGTGGCTGAAACTGGGACCCTCTGTATGCAATGCATGTGCTCTAGGATGGAGTTAAGGTCGCCCAGCTATCCCATCCCCCCAGCTACATTCAAAGCTGCAGCCTCTTTCAAATATCCCCATTGATTTCAACGGGCCTTTGGACTGGCTCGTAAATAGGCTCAGCAATTTACAAATTCTGAGGGAAGCGGCTGGTTTTATTTCTGTGCTAACCCAATGTGGTCCATGAGGAACCATTCCTAGTAATATTCAGTAGTAACTGCACCATTACAGAGCACTAGACAAATTTGCACACACAGAGGCTTAAGAGGGCAGAAGCACAGGAGACTAATGGGATTAGCACTTCCACCACTTTGACTAGAATAGAGATCTTCAATGGTCGCCTTCTGCAATACTGCAATGGGATATCTTGAATGCAGGGGGAAAGTGTATCCAGTTGAAGCAGGGCAAGCCCAAGACTATTTGCTGCCTGTGGAAAAGGACAGCGTACCACTACAGCCCCAGTCCACTTACAGAAGGCAACCGGACTAGCAACCAGCACCAGCCTATGTGGTGGGAACTGTTTTTCCAACACTAGCTTTGCTGCTGCATACATGGATGGGGCTGGGTGGTGGCGAGGCTGGGGCTGTGTGCATGCCCCAACAGATCCAATCTCACACTCCTGCCAGTGTAACTATGCAACTCCAGCTACACCCAGCTCAGGTACGTAGTGGCGACGGTGGTGTTGGGATGGTGGCTCTGCCCCCAGCACGTGCACCACTAGTGCTGCCAGCTGAAACTTAATGCAACCTCCAAAATGGGATAGCATCCTCCAGCACACCTAAGGCAGCGTGCTAATTATGGTGACCAAGGATAGACCATGTGGATACACCAAGAACCTGCCCCCTGAGGCAGTCACCTCCTTCTGCCTAATGCTAGGCTGACCCTAAACTGGACCTCTTAGGATGATGGCAAAATTATAACCAGATTACCTTGCAATGTTACCAACGGTAAGGAGTTTGGGAGGAAGAAACTACAGTAGTACAAAGAAATAATAACAATAAAAAACTGGTTCTAAAACAAGCTCTTAAATGACAATAAATTTTATCCCTCGAAGGTCATGCAAATAACTTATCTTGAGAGTAGAACGTAAGCGTTCCTGGCATGCAAATTTGGATCTCTTTGGCAGAGGGAGTTCGTAACAACCCTTATTGTGAAACAGTGGTTGGACCCGGAAGCCAAATTTCCAGTAAAGAGTTGGGAGGGAAAAGAAAAACTCATACCCTGCTTATTCAACAAGTAAACTGCTTTGAAGTCAGGATCCTGTTGATACAACACTAAAAATGTTACAACATACAGGATTCCTGAGGAAACTGAGAGGAGAACTTGCCCGAAACGTAATCCTTGCATTCCTCCCTCCAAATGAGATTGCAATCAGTATGAACATAAGACTCCTACTGAAGGAACTTCCAGGAAAATTCGTGCAAATAAAAGTTAATAAGAAAAAGGAGAACTTGATGCTCTCACACTAAGGGAATTAAACAAAATGCTCCTTTGTTTAGAATTAAAAGTTGCTTACATCCCGTCTTCCATATAACTGTCTATCAAGATAGTAAACTCAGCAGAATATGTCACGTCTGTTCTATAACCACTAGATGCAAGATTCAGGTAGGTAGCCGTGTTGGTCTGATGCAGTCAAAATAAAAAAATAAAATTAAAAAATTGTCCAGTAGCACCTTAGAGGCCAACTAAGTTTGTTCTGGCTATAAGCTTTCGTGTGCGTGCAAAATTTATACCCAAAACAAACTTAGTTTGTCTCTAAGGTGCTACTGGACAATTTTTAATTTTTTTTTATTTATTTCCACTAGATGCAAATTCAGTCTTCTGTTCTTGTTTACGGGATAGGCATACTGAATTTGCAGTGCTGAATTCCTAAACTGTGCTTTTATTAACAGATGCTCTTGAGTTGTATCTCATTGTATTGTTTTTTTATATATATATTGCGATCCACCCTGTGACCACATGGCAGGATAAAAAAACTCCCAAATAAATAAATAAAATTACAATGGCACACGTTCTCACGCTTTGAAGGCATAGTCTCTCAGAAATCAGGAATGCTACACCAGCATGTCAAACCAATGGGTAAGCAGAATCCAGCTGCTGAACTTTTCAAACATATTCGCAAATGCCTCAGAGTTTGATCTGGATTTAAGATGACAATCTCTTACTCTCCAAGTGACAGAAATAGCCCTCATTACGCTACAGTGAAGATGCTTCATAATCTTGCAGTAGCTGTAAGATTTTAAGATACAAAGATTAGGTTCTCAGAGCAAGCTCAGTAGCACACACCCTTAAGGAAGAACTTCTGTATCTCGTTCCAATACCAACTACCCCAGAGTAAAATATAGTTGTGGCACCCAAGATTGACCAAGATTAAGGTGCCCCTCCTCCCCAGCTCCTAGGCACATCTCAGTTTTGTAATAAACAATTAGAGAAGTCAGCCTGAACCATTTCAGAGGTAGATTAGTAAAGCTTTAATGGACAGATCTGGTTTCTTTAATTTTGTGCCAAATATGATCCGAAACAAGCTCTTTCATTTTGAGTCCAAAGTTAGCAGGTACATTGCATGTCATAGTGAAAGCACTTCTGCTAACCACTTCTGCTTTTCCATTTAGCAATAAAAACTGGAACAAAAACATTTCTGACCATTCGTCTATCTGGCTCAGTACTATCTACATCAAGGGCGGGCAGGAAGCAGATAAGAGATCTATTGGTAGATCTCTGGGTGATTTCCTATAGGATTTATGACTTCCAGGTTTTTTTTTAAAAAAAAAACAAATAAATCTGCCCCACCCCCAAAAAATACTTTTTTTGCTGCAGAAAGAAAGAAAGAAAGAAAGAAGAGGATGACAGCCAGGGGGCAGTAACCATATTTTTTTTATGATGAAGGACGACGAGCTCAGCTCAGTTCTGGTACTCACAGCAAATTCATGGGCCAGAATCCCTTAATTCTAGGTACATGTCTTTTGTACCTGCTCCCAGTTGGTAGATCTCAGGGCTTACATCCTGCAAGTCTAAATGCTGCCCACCTTGGTTCACACTGACTGGCAATGGCTCTCCAAGGTTTCACAAAGGAATCTTTCACGGCCCTATCTGAAGATATCAGGGATTGAATCTTTTTGGATTCAGCCCATGTGTTCTACCAACTGAGCTACATCCCTCCCCCTTGAGGACAGCTCCTGGAGGATAATATGGCTGGTGGTATCATATGCCAATGAGAGGTTCAGCAGAACCAACAGGCATGTGCTTCCCCTGTCCAGTTCCTGCATAGTTCATCCACCTGGTCGGTCCTAAACAAACCAGAATCAGGCCTGAACTCATATAGGAAAGAATTCAGATAGTGAGCTTCATCCAAGAAAGGCAAGAGGTTGTTTGCCACGTTCCAGGACCTTAATCAAGAATAGAACAGTGGACACAGTCTGAGAATTATCTAGGGCAATGGGATCCAATAATGCCTTTTTCAACAGTGGTCTCACCACAGCCTTCACACCTCTAGGCTTTACCATCACAAGTGAACTAACTCTTCTACCCGCTGCAGTATTTTATGGTCTCCTTGCTTGTACTTTCTGTCTCTCTCTCTTTCTGTTCGTACTTTAATGGCATTTCCAAAACAGCACTCCCTTATATTATTGCTCTTTCCTAAGTGTCTCATGGCTCGTCCACAGCCACTGCTAAAGTCCTATTTATCCTAAGGCTTTTGTCATTTGTTCCAGGGCCAACTCAGCATCTAATCTCCCTCTTCTTCAGACAATGTCTCGAACGTGTTCCTCAGTTCAACTTGGATGTGCTTCACAGGACATATTGTTCCCCTAGTCAGCTTCTGTGTTTCTTTGCTCCTTTCTTGTGGCATTTTTATTCTCAGTTTGGCGTTGTCTTGATGGCAGCTCCTCAATAGCATGCAATGTTTTAGTAGCATCATGATAATTAATACATGGCCTTTATGTAGTACTTAATTCCAAAGGGCTCAAAGCTTATCAAAATTACTTACATACTAATAAGAAGCAGCACTACGACCTTGATTATTTATAAAGAGCTTAAAACTATACTGGGCCCTGTAGAATAGCTCCGTGAAAAAGCATTCCTTGCCAAAGGCTTACAACTTAACAATGCAACATAAGAACAGGGAGAGAAAAGAGCAATCTTAAGAAGAACAGCTAATAATTGCAGTTAAAAGAAGGGCTAGTTGTTTAGTGACTATTTATCTACATTGTCTCAGCAATACTTAACAACAAGCCTTAAGGCAGACTAGTGTTAACATAGCTATTTTACCCATGCTAAGGATGGAAATGAGCTGCTGCTGAAAGGTAGGCAATAGAACCATCCCCAACCCTGTATCCTTCAAATGATTTGGATGCAAACTCCTATCATCTTCAGCCAGCATGGCCAATGGTCAGGGATGATGAGAGCTGCAATACAACATCACCTGATGGTTGGAGACTCCTGCACTAAGGACCACAACCGGTGAGTTCATGACTCGTGTACGATGTAACGGATGTAAGGGACTTGCAGAGCACAGTTCATGCTTTTAGCTACCAGATTTCCCTAAAAATAGCTTTCCACCTTGGATAAATCTTCCAACTTTCAGCTTGGGTAAATCATAGAATTGTAGACTTGGAAGGGACCCTGGGGATCCTTTAGTCCAAGCCCCTGCAATGCAGGAAACCCAGCTAAAGCATCCATGACAGATGGCCATCCAACCACTGCTTTAAAACCTCCCAAGAAGAAAAGCCCACAACCTCCCAAGGTAGTCTGTTCCACTGTTGAAGAGCTCTTATTGTCAGAAAATTCTTTCTGATGTTTCGTTGGAATCTCCTTTCTTGTAACTTGAAGCCATGGGTATGGGTCCTACCCTCCAGGAGAAAACAAGCTTGCTCCATCTTTCATGTGACAGCCCTTTGGATATTTGACAATGGCTACCCTATCGCCTCTCAGTCTCATTTTATCCAGGCTAAACATATCCAACTCCCTCAATTGTTCCTCACAAGACTTGAAGGAAAAGCCATCGCTCTCTTCTCCTTTCAGTTGACAATGTAAACAAAACTTGACTTCCTCATGCAACATAAAATCCACTATAGCCTCATTTGGACAAAATGCAAAACACCTGAACAGACCTCAAGGTGAAGCACTCCCACTTCCTTTTCCACCCCTTCAAGACACTCACGTTGGGGAGATAGCTATTATGTGATAACCCGACCAAACTGTGACCTGTGTTAACTATAGTTAAGGGATCAAATTGTGGTTTATGATCCTGTATTCTTTGGTTAAGCCATAGCTAAGATCAAGCACAATCTGGAGACTGTCATAAAAATAAACCAAAGTTAGTTGAAACTAAGTGGAGGCTTTTGATCTCCTCTTCACAATTGTACCGGAGGAGTGAGGACATGAGTCCAAGGCTCATTCATGTAAAACTAAACCATAGTTTAGTGTTACACATCCATACCAGATCTATGTCTATTATTCCCAATCTCTTTTCCCTGCAGGACTCCTTCTCGTGTTCTGTTACGATAGCCTACTTTCCTATTGCCTATCATTTATCGTCTTTTGCTAACTGTCAGTCACACGTTTGGAGACAGCTGCAGAACGCTTCTTCGATTCCATACCTCTTCCAAGACCTTCAGCTGAGCAATATTTTGTATACACTAACAAGTCAAGCATAACCTCCATGCATCTGCCTACAGAGAACTGTGAAATCTGGGGAGCTACACACAGTGTATCTGCTTCTGAAAGTGAGAGAGAAGCAATGGCTATATCTAGGCCAACTCCTGCCACAGGACACTATTAAACTGGGGGTGAAAGTTCTCTCTAAAATCAAGGAAACCTAAAAAATAAAAAAGCAAGCAAAAAAGCCCCTTATGAGCTCTTCACACCATAAATTCTTAACTTTATGATACTGGGTCTTGTTTATAAGAACTCTGTGCCCCTGCCTGTAAATTCTGCCTTCTCTGCTTTTGTGTATTTTTTAATAATGATCTAATTCATCAGACCTCACACACAACCCGGTTGGTGCCTCTGAATTTTCTCCAGCTGCTCACATCCTTATGATAAGCATCTCCCTGGCTGTTGACACAGAGTCCATGAGAAAAGCAGATGGCTGCATGCCTGCTGCTATGGCTGTCGTTAGGAACATGGAAACTGATTTATATCAGGTCAGACTATTGGTCCTTCTAGCTCAGTATTGTCTGGCAGGTGCTCTCCATGGTTTCAGGCAAAACTCTCTCCTAGGCCAACCTGGAGATGCCGGGGATTGAACCCAAGACCTTCTGCATGCAAAGCACATGCTCTCCCACCAAGCCACATAAAGCTTGCTGAGTGACCTTGGGCCAGTCACTGCCTCTCAGCCTAACCTATCTCACAGGGTTGTGTGGAGATTAAAGGAGGGGGGAGAACCATGTGCGCAACCTTGAGCTCCTTAGAGACAAATGGTGAGATATAAATGCAATAAACAATAAATAAACAAATTCCCCCAAGCACAGCAATGGTTGGGTCTGGAGAGAACAGATCCCCCTGCGAACTAGATTAGCTCTCAGACAAGACCTGGTTCGTTCTCTGCAAAACAGCCTGCACCGTCCCTTCTCCCTCCTTCACTGAATCAGAATGAGCACTGGAAAAAAAGGGTGTGTTTTATCTGAACAATTAATAAGTACACAAGAATACAGTTCCTTTTCCCCATTGTTATGAGGTACTCACCTAAAGAAACAACAGCAACACTCTCTGGCATGAAATGCAGCCTGAATCTTATCAATAAATGCACCAATATGATGCAAATACCTGGCAGGGAAACAAAACAACATTTAGGTACAGGATAAACAGCAGCTACACAGCACAATTCAAACAAATTGTGTGATTCCCTTTGGAAATTGAAAAAAAATGCAAAGCCAAAAAAAGATGTAGTAGCGATGGAGTTGAGAAATATCAAATATTGCCAGAACAGGGACAAGTGCATTAAAAGATGAAATAGTAGGTTTTACAGTGTTGTGCGGGTTTTTTTTATCTCCTTCAGTATCCCCTAGGTGGATAGAATCATTCTTGATGACTTGATTACAAAGAACCATGCATGACAGTGCACCTGCGTAACAGGGCTTTCAAGACTCAAGTGCCCTAAAAAGTCCTGATCCTAAACACATTGGCACAAATCGTAAGATAAATGAAGAAGCTTACAGAAGGCACATATCTCTTCTCCTCTTGAAGCAACCTATGTGCCCCCAAAAGCCTCACTGGAGAGTCAGGAGAGCTCCACTAAACAATTTGGAATAAGGTGAGGGAGCTCTTTGGGGAGATGGGAAAAGGAAATATTCCTTCTATGAACTTCCTTCAGTTAACTTTTCTTAGGAGCCAGCCCGATTTTGGCCAATTATCTTCATCTCACATTGCTTAGGAAGACATCCCGACTCTCCCAAGATTGGTGACTGCAGGGGAATCAGGGGGTAGAAAACTTTCCTTTCCACTGTCTTCTGTAAAATAACTTACCTTAGGATACCAGCTGTTTACATGGCCATTAATCCAATGGATTTCAGTAGAACTTACCTTACAGGTAAAACATACTCAGATATTAAACTGATAAGAACAGATGCAACACTTGATCTTAGCCAAAAGGCCAAGAACCTCTTGATACTATCCCTATCAGTGCCGCAGAAGTGCCATTGCTGTGGTGGACTGTCCAAATCTGGTATCTGGCATTTACAAACTGGACAAGGACAACTGGCCCACTAGTGCATTGGTCTGCAAATGGTAGTTCAGAACCCATAACCAGGTCACAGGTAGATGGATAGAAACAAAGCATTAAAAATGGCTCCCCAAATACAGATTTGGGCTGAAAGGGGTCCCAGGGCTGAAAATATTGAAGACTACTACTCTGATAAGTGGGGTACATGGGAGTGCTCAGATCCGTTCCCCCAAATCTCTCAGTTGTGATTTGGAGCAGTTATTAGGAGCAGTCGTCTTGTCCTGGCAGAACAAGAGGCTCTTGCTGCTTCTTAACGTCTTCATACCTCAGTGCAAATGAAAGTCTCTCTGCTAGTCCCTCTGTCCACTTCAAGGGGATTCTGTGAAGAGCAGAAGGCTGCTGGCAACCATAAAAAAAATGGCTGGCTAATCCACCAAGCCAGCCTTTGCGGACTCCCCAGCCCACGTGTTTATTTTGTGCCAGCTAGTTATAGTTCTGTTGTTACGGTTGTAGTAGCTGGACAGTTAATGGCACAAAACCACTACTTGGGGTAGGGGTGGGTAGTAGCAGGTAGATGGCACTCGCAGTACTGGCTGCTTCCAGGACAGTTTTTAATACAGTCCAGATCTTAGTTTATATTAGTATATTTTGCTAGAAAAGGGAGGGAAAGAATCTTCCATCACCCCAAAGCAACCTTTTAAATTCTTTGTGATGTTTAGACTTTGAGTTGCATTATCTTCTGCCCTTTCCTTTGGCTTGGAACTTTCATTTTTATGACTACTTAAACATCAAGTTAGCCTTGGATGCAAGGCAGATGCCGGTTTCCTCTAAAGACAAAGGGCTGTTTTGCACAAACAAGGAATGTTCGTTTATTTGGAATAAAAACTATCTCAATTTTATTGCCTTCTTTTGCTTTGCTTAAAGTCTCTTGGCACTTTATCATAGGATCTGCCTCCCTGTGCTTATACAAAATGTCTACGGTATTGCAAACAAGCCTGTACTTTCTCACACGAAGTGAATATTCTTATTACAGCAGACGTCTAAAAGATCACAGAAAACTGTCCAACGTTTGTGTTTTTCTGGAGAGGACATGCACACACACGCACACTTGCAATTAATAAAGAACAACCTGAAGTTGACACGGCTCTGTTTCAGAGTGGCGTTCCCGGCAGAATGCACACACCAAGTGCCAGCCTTTCCCGGTCTCCAACCAGCACACAAGGTGGAGCGCACAGGACCATCTCCACAGGTACGCTATGTAAGAACACAAGAGTCCTGAAGAATCAGCTCATCTAGTCCAACATCCTGGCCAACAAGGTAACTCCAGGAAGCTCACAAGCGAAGTATGAAGGCAGCAGTCCCTGACGCCCCAATATTCCCACCAAGTGACAGGTGTTTAGCAGGAAACTACCTTTGCGCATGGGAGCTGCATAAAGCAGGGGTGGGGAACGTCTGTCCCATGGGCTAAATGTGGCCTTGCAACTCCTCTGTCTGTGGCCAGGTGTCCACACACTTATCAGCAAGGGTCTTCAAAGGCAACCCTTGCCCTAAGAGATCACAACTCAGTGGCAGAACACATGGTGTGCATGCAGAAAGCCCCACATTCAGCCCTTTCTATCTCTAGTTAAAAAGATCAGGTAGCAGGTGTTGTGCTCAAGTTCAGCCAGATACCCTAGAGAACCATTGCCAAAGTAGACAATACTAGGTGTGATGGATGGCCTATGGCAGGTTCCTCTAGCCTAGTACAAATATGTTATCACCATCAACACAGAAAGGTACATGACTTTGGAGAGCGGAAAATGCCAGTTGGGCAATACTATCTCAATCTATTGCAATTAAATTTGCCAGACGCCTTCTGCATGCCCTGCAGATGTTGCAGGACTCCAACTCTCATTAGCCCTACCAGCAGGGCCAATGACCAGCGACACTGGGAGATGTAGTCCAGCAACATCTGGAGGGCCTTGGGTTCTCTTTTCCCTGCTTTAGGGCAGCAGCATCTTGTCCAGCCCTCCCACTCCCTTCTGCTTAGCACAAACCTGAAGAAGAGCTCTCCAAAACTCAAAAGATTTGCTCACTACTTTGTGAGACATTTGTTGGTGCTAACAGAGCTATTCTTCTTCTGCGATGGCATGAATACTAGTGAACAAATGACTGTGGGCCCTGCAGTACCCAGAAAAGCGTGACAGCGAGGATGCAATGGAAGCAGCAAAGTGTGTCTTCTTCACTGCCACTGAGCAGGCTCAATAGTGAGCATTCACTGTCATTCTATCCCAGTCTTCTGGAGTTTTCCTCACATGAATTCAAGCAGAATCCCAGTTTGTTTCATTGCCGTCAACACTGGTATATACCAACAAGTCTCCCACCAAGTGGGATAGGGGCATCCATATATTCCACAGATCAACCAGGGCTTCAGCAAGACAGCCAGTCATATTATCTGAAAAAATTTCCCAAAGCCATTTGGAAACTAAATGAACCTATCAGCCTCTGAGGGCAGATCATCCTAACAGGACCCTAATATCTCATGGGCTTGTGTAAATACAACAATCCACACAGAGAATCGCCCAGTAAATAAATAAAGCATGCAAACAAAAACCATGCAAAAACTCAAAGGAACAAAAAAGTTTACTAATGCTCCACACTGAAATAAAGCTAGTGATTGGGATGGGGAGGAGAAAAGAAAGTACTATGAGATATTTTCTCAACTATTATTTGACTTCAGACCCTCAAAAGCAGACTAGTTTGCTTGTTTTCTAAGGATCAGAAACATAATACCAGGGACCAATCCTTGACTGGAATAGCAAACATGGAAATGAATTCTAAGTGAGGGTGGCCTGTGAACAGTGAAACAGGGGACTTGGGTAACAGAGACGTTTAGGCTACCCATGTTCCTATGTTTCCACTTGTCCACCTGCATTTGCTCCGGCGAGCAGCCAAGAGTAACTGATCAGAAAGTCTTGGATGCACATTCACCTAATACAAGAAGACTAAAGAATATAGTCATGCCGCTTGACTGCTCCTCTTGTTGAGCTTGCACCCCAGTTTGCACTGGAAGAATAGGCTTGGCAGGTGTAGGAAGCACCAGCTTCGTGGTGAGCGCCAGCGTGGTGTGGAGGGTGGCATTGAGCACTTCGTGGGTAGCGTTTGAGAACCTGTAAGATAAAACACACCCAGGTCAGACTGAGGAGACACTCAGCTGGTTTTCCTCCAGCAGGAATCATTACTGAATGACTCACTGAAAGCTAAAAACTCATTTTCAAGTTATGCTTTCAGTTCAGCCATCCTTGATATAATAAACATGGCAAAATGGTGTTAATCCTGGTCCACATACTGAACTACCTACACTCAGCTACACGCACTAAAAACAAGGTTAGGAACATGCAATGTTGCCTAAGACCACAGACCAGTATTCTTCAACCATGAGTCCACCATATGTTGCCGGGCTGCGACTTCCAACATCCTGGACCACTGGCACAGCTGGATCAGATTTGTAGTCCAGTAACACCCAAGGAGCCAAGGTTGAAGAACACTGATATAGACCAGGCATAGGCAAACTCTGCCCTCCAGATGTTTTGGGACTACAACTCCCATCATCCCTGGCTAACAGGACCAGTGGTCAGGGATGATGGGAGTTGTAGTCCCAAAGCATCTGGCGGGCCAAGTTTGCCTATGCCTGATATAGACAATTTGTCGATTTAGTCCATTGCTGAAGTTTCAGAGGAGGAGCAGACCTCCGAGTTTTCAGGAAAAGGTCATTCCCCGTCCGCTGCAGACACCTGAACCTTTTAACTAGACATGCCAGAGACTGAACCTGGGATGTTATACATGCAAAGCACTATCTCTGAATTACTCTCACCCCCACCAATGATTTAGTACACAGTAAATGTTCACTGGATAAAGTTTTTTCCCCCCGTTATCCCCCCCAAAATTGTGAAAATGTGGGCACCTGTCAGAGACCCTAGTGTCCTGCACTTCTGCTCTGAATGAACATGTGTCAGATGCCACAATAGAGTATTCAGTAAGAAGCTACACTGAAATTAAGTGCTCATTAAGTACATGTTCCTATATACATGTATGTTGCCTCGGGTATGCGAGGTGACATGTTTTGCTGCTTTAAATTTTCTGCTGTGCAGCACTGAGCCTGCCTAGACAAAAAACAAATTAAAGATGCCAAAGGAAGTTGGGGTGTGTGGGTGTGGGTGTTTGTGGGTGTTTTAAAGGGCTCTCTGCTCATGAATAGTCAGCAGCTTTCAAGGATTGGCTAGTGTTCCCTGCAGGATCAGGTCCCTTTGGACAAAGAGGAGGAGCTGGATCTTCACAGGAGTGGGGAGGTGATTTGGGGAAAGCTGCTGATGGAGATAGAACGTATTTCAGCAAGGTATATGGTCAGTTCTAGAAAGGCAGCCACAAAAGGAGGTAAGTGCAGGAAGAAAAGGAGTTAGCAGGGTTTGTGAAAGTGAGATATCAGGAAAGGGCCAGCTGAGGCAAGATGCAAAGCAAAACATAACAAGAACAGGCAAAAGCCAGGAGAGAGGCTACAGTAAATGCTTTGCTGCACAGAGCAAAGGCTGACAAGAGGAAGTTTATACAGGGACAAAAAAGGGCATTCACAAATCAAAGAGGGGAGTGGTGGAACTGGGCAAAGAGCCAGCAGAAGTAGCTGGGCCCCAGGAGGCCTGTGATTTTCCAGAGATTCAGTGCCTTATGGAGCAAGGCTTAAGCCCAACTGCACAAGGTCCAGCAACTGAGGACCATGACAGCATTTAGGGAGGAAAAGCAGGAAAGACGTTAAAAAACACAATAAACCCTGTAGCTGAGGTTATATCTGCCAGCCTTGGATGTAAAACTTCCCAGTGTGGTGCAAAAAAACCACCCACTCACAATTTGCAGAAAGCAGGTTACAGCAGAAAGCAAGCAGGAGCATTGGTGGTTGGGATGTCCCAGAATGCTTCAATTACATGGCAGTATTGTGATGAATGAGCAGCTATGCACTTTGCTTGGCACCCTTGTTCTACTTCTTTGAGAGGGAAGAGACAACCATGTTGATCCTTGGACTTAAACCTCGTAAGAGAGGGTAGATGCCTTAGGGTACCTTCACGCAACCAGTATCTTAAATGGCTCAGGACCACAATACATCAAAGACCGCCTCTCCCCGTATAAACCAGCTGAGACTCTGTGATCATCCTCTAAGGCCCTTCTTCGTGTTCCTCCTCCATGGGAGGACAGGAGGCTGGCAACACAAGAACGGGCCACAAGACCATGAGAACGGGCCTTTTCTGAAATGGCTCCCTGCTTGGGGAATGCCTCCCCAAGGATGCTTATCTGGCTTCTTCATTACACATCTTTAGGTGCCAGGCAAAAGCCTTCCTCTTCAACCAGGCCTTTGGCTGATTAAAAGGGGGGAGGTTATTGGCTTGTTTTGTTTTTATTATGTACTCTGTGGTTTTCTTCTGTATTTTTATGCTGTGAACCACCCTGAGATCTTTATTATTATTTCCTGGGGTAAATCCCTCAACAACATTTAACCCTAAAAAAACTCAACAACTTCAATCCTAAAAAAAGCTCAACAACTTAACTTTGGTTGGCTCTTTGGCTGGCCCTCACGGCCCTTCACTTCATCAAATCTGGCCCTCTTTGAAAAAAGTTTGGACACCACTGAGCTAGGCCAAGTTGGTGAGAAATTGAGAACATGACAGTCTTGGATGACGAGGCAGGAGGGGGCGCGGATGTGGATCATGCACTTTGTGATAATGATGACTGGGAGGGAAGGGAGGTCTTGTGCTACCTAAACAACACAGAAAGACCCCAAGGGAACCTGAGGTCTTCTCAAAGAAGCAGAAGATAAAGGAGGTAAGAAGACATATACTTGCCAAGATGGAAATAATAGGCAATTATTGCTAGACACAATGGGCTCCTCAAAACATCCTTTTTATGCTACATCAATGTTGTTTTGTGTTTATGATGGTATTGGGGAGGTTATATATGATTCCTCTTTCAATACTGCTTTGGGCCAGCAAATGTTTTGGGGTAGACATTCTGCTTTGTTTCCAATCAATGCATGCTCCATACTTTCCTGTTGAAATCCTGTAACTTTTTGTTCCACTTTTATTGCACTATAGTACAATAATGCCCCTCCAAATGGCAATAACATAACCTTGGGGAATTATTGCAGAACAAGCAATAAGGTAGAATGGTTTGTGGACAGTCGAGTGTAAATCTATCACTAATGCAATATTATTAAATCGGTGGCATGTTGCAGAATATACCTGCAAAAACCCATCAGTCTGAAGGGGGAAAATACATGTTGAATTATTATGGTGCAGTCATATATTCAAGTATTCAACAAGACAGGAGTATTTGGTATATTGTCATGAACATGGCAAAAACAAATAGTAGCACATGATGACAAATGGACTCTAGCATTAGGTACTGGATTAACAGAGGACATTGACTGCAGGATATCATAAACTTTTATCTATAAAAGGTGAAAATAAATGGGATCTGAAATAAAATGTTGCAGTACATTGCACTCCTGTACAAAGTGCCAGCCAGCCAAACATGCCTTTTCCAGTATATGCCGTTTCACTCTTCTTCTCCCACCTGTTTCTCATTACAATCTATCCAACAGTTAATCAGCATTCTATGCCAACTGTAGTGGAGTAGGGATGGGCAAAGTGCAAAGTGAATTTATTTCACAACAGGAATTATGGTGTCATATCTTGAGCCACTATATGCAAAACCTCAGAATGTCACAAGCTTTTCTCAGAGAGAAACCCACCAAAAAAGCTAAGGAAACGAAGAAGTAGGTTTAGGTTGCACAGCATGCTTGCCTAAGAGTTAAACTGCCATTTTTAGTATAAAAAATGCCCAAGTCTTTTTTTTTGGGGGGGTGGCTTATGGGTATTTTTAAAATAGTTTGTGCTTCTGCAAGCTTAGGGAGGCGTTCCCCAAAGCCTGCTGATACCTCCTTTCATGTGTTTTGTGCTGTTTGGGTAATATAAGGGCCCACGCTCAAAGGAGGATAACTGGTAAAGGTAAAGGTAAAGGACCCCTGACAGTTAAGTCCAGTCGCGAACGACTCTGGGGTTGCGGTGCTCATCTCACTTTACTGGCTGAGGGAGCCAACGTTTGTCCACAGACAGTTTTTCCAGGTCATGTGGCCACCATGACTAAGCCGCTTCTGGAGAAACCAGAGCAGCACACGGAAACGCCGTTTACCTTCCTGCCGCAGTGGTACCTATTTATCTACTTGCACTTGACGTGCTTTCAAACTGCTAGGTTGGCAGGAGCAGGGACTGAGCAACGGGAGATCACCCCATCGCAGGGATTCGAACCGCCGACCTTCTGATCGGCAAGCCCTAAGCTCAGTGGTTTAGACCACAGTGCCATCCGCATCCCTGAGGATACATGACTCATGTTTAAATGTTTTTAATTCTTTTGATACTGTTTGCATTGCTTTTGTTTTGTATTGTCTGCTGCTCTGGGCTTCTCTGGGAAGAAAGTCAGGATAAACATAAGAGAAAATAAAATAAACCATAAATAATAAGCAAAGAAAGCTGCTGTTCCCTTTTTTATTATCTCTACAGTTTGAAAGCCTGCTTCCGAAGACTGGGAACTCTGGACTACTCTTGCTATTTCAGGCTATTTTGCTATATTTACAAAGAATACTCATGTTTAATAAAATACATGTAGTGCTGTTTTTTGAAGAATACTAATAAAAAGATGACCTGCTTCAAATGCTGCAGTGAGGTGCTGCTGTTCAGATTCTAGCCGCTCTGTTCCATTTCTCCTTCCCCACCACTGCTTTTCCGGGGCATTTTACCGCCAATAGTCAGTCAGAATTTTAGCACACCTAAAACTCACTGGGGTATCTTGGAGGTTCCCCCCTTTATAATTTCTCTTCCTTTAAAAGAAATGTACTTCAGCTCACTTTGGGGTTCCTCCAAACCCTCTTGTGCAGGCGTGCTGCTGCTTTGGCTACTTAAACAACAATACTCACAATCTGAACATCAGAAAAAAGAGGAAATGATAATGCAATGTCATTAAGCAATGGCTCAACGGTGACTGTAAAACTAAGGGATCAATCTTAGAGGAAGAGCCACCAAGATGAGTGGGGTTAGGACAGAGTAAAAAAATGTACAAAAGAGGATCAAATTTATGTTGGAAATGTTGAGATACAGAGGGCTCCTTAATTCACATGTGGTGGCAATGCAAATTTGTGGGGGGAAATTACGGGAAATTATATACTGTATAACAAACTAAAAAAGATGTTTAAGTGCCCCCAACACCCAGAAGCATTCCTGTTAGCAATAGTAGGTGAGGAAATACCAAACGAAGTTAAAAACTTATTTCTTTATGCAACAGCAGCCACAAGAATACTGTACGCAAAAATGTGGAACAAGAAGGCTATCCCAACGAAAGATCAATGGCTGCTTAAACTAATAGAATATGTCGAGCTAGAAAGTATGATGGACAAAATAAGAAATATAGATGGAAAGATAGTGACAAGCGAGTGGGAACAATTTGAAGGATATTTAAAATGAAGTGGTACTAAGATAAATCTACAAGCAGGGATAAATCTGTGATCAGCAGCAGGCAAAATAAAGGATCATGAATGGAAGGAGAAAAGAATAGATAACCCATGGAGATGTAGCAAACTAATGAATCTGTAATAGGATGTCAATGAAAGATAGGTTGGGAAGTCTATTAGATCTGATAGGATGGGGAAAGGTATGTATAATGTATGCTGGAAAATGCATAACTAAAAATAAATTTAAAAAACTGATCTCACACAAGACTTCTCTGAGGTTTGCAAGCAGAGCCCTGAGGCATCCCTAGGCCCACATTCAAAGAAAATTCAGAATGATTTATGGTGCCCACATCACATCAGGTGAAGCATTATCCTGGCAGCTTGGTGAAGCTTTGCTGGAGTGGTGGGGGACGGGCACATGCTGAGGGTGGCATGTGGGGCAGGGAGAATCTTCCAAAGCTTGGCATACATTCAAATCCTACATTTGTACCTTTCTGCTAAACTATCAAGCCTGTAATCTGCCGCTTCTTCCTCTTTTTCCTGCCCAAACTCATATGCCAACCTCCCATTTGCCAACAAACTTATGAGATGTCCACACTTTCCCCAAAGACTCTTAGTAATGGCTTTGCTCACCCCTCCAGCCACAACCCGAAGGACACAACTTTGGGATGATGATTCTCTGGTCTCTTTCTTTTTCTACACTTATGTAAATCGTATCATTTATATAAAATCCTTACTGCTGTTTGATATTCGACAGCTATTTACCTAAGTCCTTTGCTGTGAATACCTTCAGAGACCCTTAATAAAAAAACGTTACAAACCATATTTTAAAAATAAAAGTTATATTTTCTTTTTTTTTCTTAAACTTGCACATTAAATGCAAAGGAACCTCTAATGTAAAAATGAGAGAGGAGGGATAGAGTGGATTTCTGGACTACGCCACCTTAATTTACCTATCCCAGCTCAGCTGGGATCCAGTTTGCTGAGCCATGGCTGAAAAAGCTTGGGAATGTGGCACGGGTGGCACCAAAGAGGGGTGACAGGCTGAATCCTATGCCTGTTTAATTTAGTCACATGACATGGCAACCCAGCGCCCAGTTAAGCCAGAAACCCAGTTAAGCCAACAAAAAGAGTGGAGTAAACTCAAACACTATTTTATAGGCTTGTTTTCCATCTGCCAGACTTAGGCCAGCTGAGCCAGCAACAGCCCTGCTCCTGAATAGAGCTTGGATCTGGTGTACAGTGGTACCTCTGGTTACGAACTTAATTCATTCTGGAGGTCTGTTCTTAAGCTGAAACTGTTCTTATCCTGAAGCACGCTTTCGCTAATGGGGACTCCTGCTGCGCATGCGCCTCTGGCGTGCGATTTCCATTCGCATCCTGGGGCAAAGTTCACAACCAGGAGCAGCTACTTCCGGGTTAGCGGAGCTCGTAACCTGAAGCATTTGTAACCTGAAGTGTTCGTAACCAGAGGTACCACTGTACTTTATGCCGGCTCAATTTATACCACCAGCTGCATACAGGATTGTTCCCTTAACCACTGCTTTGTGAAACCATTGTGAAGTGCATCAGTGTGTGAACTAGGTCCACAAGTCGTTGTCCCTCATCCTAACTAACCTCAAAAACCTCTAGCAAAAAGTGTGTCAACATAAAGAAATTCAAGTGGGGAGCAGCAATATTTTGCTGGGGGGGGGGGGAGGAGAGAGGAAAAACAAGTCAACTTGCTATCCCCCTTCACTTTTCTTACAGCTACTTGGCACAAGATGTACTGGTGACCATCAGTTTGGATTACTTTGAAGGATTACACAAATTAACGGAGGACAAGGCTATCAAGCCACAATGGCTAAGTTCTTTCTCTAATGTTGAAGGCAGTACACCTCTGACTATTACTTGCTAGGAATCACTGTGAGTAGAGGATGTGGGATTATAATAAGGCTTTGGCCTGATCCACCAGGGCTTTTCTTATGTTTTGATAGATTCTCTGGCTCCATATTGCTTCAGTCAGCAGCCAGTTCTCCCTGTAAATGTGTTGGGCAATCCTGCAATTTACCTAATGTGCCCATCCCTTTGATTAAATAGGAAGGAAGGAAGCAAACATCCTCTCCCTTCCAGTCTAAGATAGCCCCAAACCAATTCTAGGGGCTTTGCTGAGGCTGAAAAGAAGTATACAGCAAGGCAGTACAGTAGTACCTCGGGTTACATACGCTTCGGGTTACATACGCTTCGGGTTACATACGCTTCGGGTTACAGACTCTGCTAACCCAGAAATATTGCTTCAGGTTAAGAACTTTGCTTCAGGATGAAAACAGAAATTGTGCTCCAGCGGCGCGGCAGCAGCGGGAGGCCCCATTAGCTAAAGTGGTGCTTCAGGTTAAGAACAATTTCAGGTTAAGTACGGACCTCCGGAACGAATTAAGTACTTAACCCGAGGTACCACTGTAATAGCTCTTTTTCAGCCTAGCAACTTGGCAAGTACTGCCTACTGGTAGACATGCCATGTGCTGATCATCTTCAGGGGCTGCAGCTGACTGCATACAGCACAACCAACTCTGATTTCTAAAATTCTGTAGGTGGTTTGATTTGTTGGGAAGGGAGAAGTGACAGGCATCCACACTTAATTATCTCGCTTAATCACCCCAATTCTCACATACTTGCAAATCTTAGCTGAAAGCAAAGTGCTGACTGGCAGTGGTTAGCTTTATGATTTGCACCGACCCTGAGATACTAAGCTATTATAGAAAAGAACCCCAGATAAATCCATACACAGGAGGAAGTGAAGAGGAGAAACATGTCCTTGATTGTGGATCAGCTTATCTGGCATAAGTGATTTGATTTCTCAAATGACATGTACCAGCATCTGGAACTTGAGCTGGTAATACCCCCAGGGCCCCTATATGCTGACTCAGGTGTGTATTCACATGCAACACTTAAAAGCACTTTTATGAGCTATTTGTGTGCAAGCATTCAGGTTGTCAACAGAAGAATAAAAGGCGTCTCCTAAATGCATGGGAGCATGCTGCCCAAGGTAGATTTTACATTTGGACAACAGATAAAGGGAGAGGAGGACTTTATATGCTGCAGTAAATTCCAAAGGATGGGATAGCAACCCAATGTTGATTTATTTTACATTTTTATCGCCAAGGTGCTCAATGTGGCATGTACAATTCTCCCTTACATCCCCAATTTTCCATCCCCAGAACACCTCTGTAAAGTAGACTAGGCTGATACTATAAACTGGTTCAGATATAACCCTAGGCCAAACCATGTTTTCACACAAATAAGCAGGTTCCTGGAGTCAAAATCCAGGCCCTGCTTCTCCTCTGGTTCTACTGCTGCTGAGTTACTCAGGACTAAACCATGATGCGGCTTAGGTATATGTCTGAACCTTGCCTTGTTTGTCTCACTCCAGACAAATCACAAGCTGTAACCAAAGGCAGTTCTCAGCGTACTATGCATGGTTTGTCTGAGAGATACAAATCATAAGCCTGAGTTCAGGATGCAACACTATGCCAAACCATGGTTTAGCCTTCATAGTGTGGCCACAGAATGTCCAGCAGCCACAATCTTCACCCTGGTAACCCACATGAGTTCACACCAAACCACAGCATCCACACTTCTGTTTCTGCCATAATTTCTAGGCATAGGTCAGCGCTTTGTAAGCACGGGTCCAAACGGTGGTTCTGTTTTTGTCCTATTGCTTTCCTCATAAAAAACTGAGGATGACCATTTCCTCCTGTTCTGTGGTATGGAGCAGGTTTTCTCACGCACCGAGTCAAAAAACAAAACAAAAAAGCACTCAACATACGGCTCTTTAAAGCTGGCCCGTGTCTAGAAACACAGCACAAAAGGAAGTCTGGATAAGCCCTGAGTTTGCCTAGAGAAAGTGGAGAGTCAAGAAAAGAAACCCACTCTGACCCCATGCCTACAAGCTGTGCTTAGAAACTGCGGCACGAACAGCAGTCCGGATGATCCCCCAGTTAGGGCAAATGGCCTATGTGTGAACTGGGCCAGGGATTGGCCCCAGGTCACCCAATGTATTTTTCAGACCAACGATTTGAACCCTGGCTTCCTGATTTGAACCCCAACATCCTCATTCTAACTGGCAAACGCGGCTGGTTCAGGACAGGGGGCTGAGGCAGACGAAAACAAGGGTGCGAACCGCACGTCCCCCGGGGTGGGGGAAAATTTTGACCCCCAAGGCGCTCTGCACATGCTCAGAGGCGCGTGCCCCTGGGGCGAGCAGGTCCGTGAGGGCACCCGCTGAGGGGCAGGGCAGCGCCTGCCGTGGCTCTTTTCCCCTCTGCCCCGTTCAGCGCCTGCCTCGCCCGGCCCGGCCTCGCCTTCCCACGTTCCCTCTCGCCCGCATCGCCCTGGCAACCGGGGCCTCCATTCCTCCCGCCTCAGGCCTGCCGGGGATTTCCCCGCGGACGCGCCTGCCAGTCCCTCTCACGGGGCGCGCTTTCCCCCTCCCCCTCCGCAAGGAGAACCCACTCACTCCATTTCCGCCATTTCCTCGCTTTCTTCTCCCTCCCGGATCTTAACTGGGGAGGGAAAACTATTACCTCACCGCACACCCCCACCCCCACCCTCACCCCGCCACCATAGAGAGCCGGGGCTAAACCGGCCGCGGCACACTTCCGGGTTCACGCTTGCGCCTCACTGGGCTTCGGACGAGGCGTTTCCATGGCAAAAGGGCGGGGTGAGTATCGAGCGAGTGAGGCGCGCGGGTTTCCTGGCAGCGGCGTCACCGTAGCGTGGTCGGCGCTCGACGTCACAGCCGCCCTTCCGAAACGTGTCGCCCTGTTCCGCTGCGCTCGGAAAGGATGACGAGAGAAGGAGTTGCATGTGGATTCCCAGGAATGGGTGACGCGGACATTCCTTGTCCCGCCCTGGTCCCTTCTCCTTTCGTATCGCTTCTGTTCAGCTTATCAGCTGGGACTGCGATCCCCTAAAAATATATATTAAAAAATTCCTAGCTACGCCCACGACTGCGTTGCATACATGCAGTACATACAATACATTTTCATGATAGGAAAAAGTAGCCCTTTCCATCTTCGTCAGAATGACTTATGACACATGACTGTCCTCTTGAGAAGTAGAGCACAGCCACCCTAAAGGAGCCAGAAAATGGCACTCTCTCCCCATCAACCCATACATCTTTTCCAATGGCATTCAAATTATTTTGGGGCATAAGGCGATAAAATATCTCATGGGCCTCATCTAAGGACCTCACGCTTCCCTGACAATGAAAAAATACATTAATAATAAGTAGAATCGCTAAACAGCATCATCCATGGTATCCTGAAGCAACTGTCTGAGGGAGGCATGTCACTAGCTGAATCATTGTCTTAGGTTGCATTTAGCCATGTATCTGTACTTCCTAGGTACCTGTTGTACCTTGTAACCTGTGCCTTGCCTGCTGTGCACCAATCAGATTTATGCCTTTGGCTGAAACAGAGCTGGGAATTTGAGTTCTTTGCCCAGCAGTGAGAGCCAGGAAGACCCTTGCAAACCTAGTAAGACACCCAGGCTTCACAGCCCTGCTCTCTCTATATATATGATGACTGAACAAGTAATCGTTGGCTATGGCGGTTATTCTGTATTTTGAAAAGTGGTTTGCAATGGAGCCTGTGGCTTGTCAGGGCCCCCTTCTTCATGCTAAAAAAGACATTGCTTCACTCCATGTGGTTTTGTGGTGATGTGCTTGAGACATGACTTTCTCACAGGTTTTGCTAGCAGCAAAAATTTGGTTAAGTCAGTAGAGCTGATTCTGGGACACAGGTCTCGCTGGTAACTTCCCCTCTCCTTGTATGTAGAAGCATATTGGATATTTCCTCATTTTTCAAAACCCACGCTGCAGGTATTTGATCAGCTGGGCATAAATTTTTATTTGATGGTAGCAAACTACAGAAAAAGCAGGAGATTCTTTTGGGTGTTTCTGTAAGTTTCTAATGAGCCTGGTTATAGGACATTTGATTTGAACCTTGATTTGAAAGACTTAACAGGGTGCATTTTCAAAAGTGGTGAGCACCCATATTTTTAGGCGCAGGCTAAGGAAGTTGCATGTGCTATCTGTGTCCCAGATCTCTGTTAACCCCCTTTACAAGGGAAAGTCTTTGCATGCAAGATGCTGGTTTTCAAGCATGTCACCATGTCACCACAAAGTGTGAAGGAACAACTTTCTGGAATGAACAGGAAGCCCGACAAGCCACAAACAGAACCCAACATGGCCTTCTCTAAAAGCTATAGAATAAAAGACTCATCGATTTTTTGTAAATGATATACAAGGCTTCTATCCTGCATTTAGTTGCAGTAAGCCCCATTTTTATATAACGGGAGTTACTTCTGGGTAGACAGGTACAGGATTGTGCTGTATACCAGCCTTTACAGGTTGCTCTGAGGAGCTCACTACATGCTGGTGCAGACAGATGTAACTGAGCCCTGGTGCTACCTTGGGAGGGAGGAATTTAAAGCAGGGAAGCAGAAAGAGATGAAAGAGTAAGGCAGCCCCTCCCAGCCCCTCCACTCTAAATTTACACCTCCTGAAACGGCATTTCATTTTAAAGAACTGAGGTTTGGTGACATACATTTGCTTGTGATGTACATTATATAGCTGGTCTCCTGTAGGACAGAGGTGGTCAATTTCGTGCCCTCCAGATATCGTTAGACTACAACTCCCAACATCCCCAATGTTCTCACTCCAGCTTCTGCCCTTTTTGCACAGACTGTAGCCTTATGAGGCTTTGCCCTCGGGTGGGAAAAATATTGCGCCTGGGAAAGGGAAGTGGGAGTCAACAGACACTCAAGGAATAGTTCGGAGAAAAGGCTTTTATTTCTACCATCCATGAACTGGTAGAAGGAGCAAGTGTGATAAGTCACAAAAAGTATGCACGAGTTCACAATCATGTGCACAAGCATATATACCCCTTTCCAGTTCCCTCCCCCTTTCTCCTCCCTCAGGAGTTCCTCTGAGCATGAACAGAAAGCTGTCTTGGGACTATTGTGGACTCTTAGCACCCTTCCCAGGAAAGGGGGGGGGGTGAGAAGCCAAGGAGTTTTCAGCATGTTCAGATATGTTTCAATCTATTGTTCTGGCATGGTTCCCAGACAGAAAGTAAGTTGCAATGTGGTTCTTTAGCAAGGCCAGAAGACATGAGAAAGGCCTGAGAAACAATGGACTGTTCTCTACCTTTGTTACAGCAGAGCGGAATGTTTCTGATGCTTAGCTGCTGAGAAAATGATTTTGAGAAGCTTTGAGCCTGCTTTGGTGGGGGGGTGACTTCGGGCCTAGGTGAGGTCACCTGTCCTCACCTTCCTTCAAGACAAAACCAGCATCGTGGGAATTGTTCTCATGTAGTACAATCCCCCGCCTTGAGATGGTGTGAATTTTCCAGCTACGTGGGTGGGAACAACTGCATATCTCTTTTCCATCCATTCAGCAACCTCCCTTCAGGCATCACACCAATCAGGTCAGAGAAAGTCACATAAGTTCCCAAGTGACTTGAATATTCTACTGAACAAGATAATCCTCTAGACTAGTTTAAGGAGCCATAGCTCAGTGGTAGAACATTGGTTTTGCATACATGATGTCTCAGGTTCAATTCCCAGCATCTCCAGGTAGGGCTGCCAGTCAGTGTAGACAACCTGGTTTTGGACTACAATTCCCATCATCACTTACCCTTGGTCCTGCTAGCTAGGGATGCTAGGGATGATGGGAGTTGTAGTCCAGAAACTGCTGGAGACCCAGTTTGGGTAACCCTGGTGTAGACAATACTGAGCAAGGTGATCTGACTTGTTATAAGGCAGGTTATTATGTTCCTGTGGGATTGTAATCAGCCAGTTCTGAGTGGACGCACACTCAGATTTGTGGATTTGCAGATTTGTGGTGGTCCTGGACCATAGCTGTCAAGCGTCCCTTATTTGAAGGGACAGTCCCTTATTCCAGCGCCATGTCCCTCTGCTGTCCCTTATTGATGGATGTCCCTTAAATGATATCCCTTAAATTTCAAAGGAAGCAGCTCCTCTCCCTCCCTCCCTGCTGGCCAGGGAGGAGGGAGGCTCCAACTGTGTTGCTTGGCTGTGTTGCTCACCAAATAAGAAGTCTAAGAACGACTGGGGGGTGGAGCTTGCATGCTTTGTGCCGATCAAATCGGCTGCGTTGCCTGGGGACTCGCCTTTGCTCAGTGCTTCCCAGCGGAGAGATGACGGTGGTTTTCCTTGAGGCTTCGTTTGGCTGCTGGCTGGGCTTTCTGCCTTTGGCTCAGAGGGGCTCAGAAGTTGAACATACCTGTGCTGAGTGCTCGGATCGGAATCGGATGGATACGTCATCAACGGCCCACTCACCCTTGCCGGCGAAAAGGTCTGTCTGGAGCGGGGGCACATGGTGGGGGAAAAGGAAAGGAGATCTTGTGGGAGGGGGGCTTTTGAATTTGTTTTGGAGGCTCCTTCAATTGATTTATGGGGGGGAAGGAGCTGGTTGACTAAAATGGTGGGTGACTGACGATCTCGTGGCGAGGCGGGGAGGCTGTGTGTGTGTGGCTAGTTAATGCAAGCTGAGGAGGTTTTTGAATGCTAGACGCCATTGTGTTGCACGTGCTGCTGCAAACTTTGCAGTGCAAAGCCAGGCCGGGGAGCCATCTTAAGTTGAGGCTGCATAGGCCTTGTGGTGCATGTGATTCAGATTCTATTCAGTTGAACCTCTGGTTACAAAGTTGTTTGGACAGTGTTCTCGAAGCAACCAGCATGAGTTTGGCCAGACTGCAGGAGGACAGGAAGACTGGAGTGCCTGGAACAGGTGAGGCTGCAGGTCCCTTATTTTGGCTGCTGATCCCTTAATTTCAAGGCTGCTGGTCCCTTATTTTCAAATCTGTAAATTGACAGCTATGTCCTGGACCCTCCTTTGTCTTTTTGGGCCCAAGAGACTTTAAGAGTGGAGAATGCTTTTCATTGACTTTGGCTGCTATACCAGCTGCAACCTCATCTGAACCAAGAGTCTGGCTGTGTAACAGCCTCTCAAGATAAGTGCAATGAGGTCTATATGTGGTTGTCCCTGGGGAGGAAAACAGATGCCGCAATCTGTGCAGGATGCACGAGACAGAGTTGACTGGCACTGCTGATTCAAATGCCATCTCACCGGTCTTAAAAGACCTCCACTGGATGCCTGTTTCTTTTTCTGATCCAATTTGAAGTGTTGGTGCTTACCTTGAACGCAGGGTTGCCATGTGCCTTACTTTACACAGACCTCTCTTTTGAAGTCCTCCGTTTGGAGGTGTTCTCTGTTTAAAGGGACCGCCCAGTCCAAATCTGGTTTAAAGGTAAGGAACCCTACCAAGGGAGAAGCCTTGACGTTGCCCATCAACAGCTAGGTCAGTGAGAAAGGAAGCAAATCCCGAATGCCAGTGAAGTTAACTCTTTATTCAAGGAAACAGAATACAACTCAGCCTAGTGGTCTCAGTAACCCTTCCCAGTAGGTCTCACTCATATGGAACAGTTGCCAGGATGGAAGGTCCCTGCCTTCTGCCACCCTTAAGGCCCCCTCCAGGACCTTTCGCAAGCAGTCTCAAACTGTGTCTGCGCACCTCCGGCCTCCTCATTATCCTGTGTAGTCTTGGAGACTGGGAGGGGGGGAGCTTTTTGCAGCAGGAGGGGAAGACTCCCTGGATTCTTCAGCAGTCTTTTGACACCCCCGCTCTTCTGCTTCAGCCTCAGAATCTGAACTCTTCCCTGTCACAGGCTCTTCCTGCTCACTAAACTCTGCTGCCCCTTCAGCTTCCAACACCTCCTCCTTCCAATCTCTCCCCTTTGACCAATCCTCTGTCTCCCACCACCAGTCCCCTGGTTCTGAGCTTTCCTCCTCTGGGGTTTCCCTTGGGGTTTCCCTAGCTGGTGCCTCTCACTACTCCTCTTCATCCTGCCAGTCCTTGACAGGTGATGTGCATTGGAGCTATATTTAAATTATAGTAACTATTTTTAAATTTGCGGCTATGCATATAAATTACTCTTTGCAAATTTGTGTCATATTTTGGAGGGGAATGCAAAGACTCTTTATTGGCAATGCATAAGTGGCCACCCTACCTTAAAGCCCTAAATGACACAGGACCCAAATATTTGAAAGCGATCTCCTCCCCTTCCAGCCTTCTTGCTAAAATCATCAGCCAGTGTCCGTCTCCAAATACCACCTTCATCTGCAAGAGCGGGGGGGCTTTGTCAGGAATGGTGTCCAAGCTATGGAATCCCACCCCCCACCCCCCGGGAGATACACATGTGGCATGTCTCAAGCACCAGGCAAACTTTAAAAAAAAAAAAATCATGCTGGCATTTAAAAACATTTCTACTCCATTGTATTTTGAAACCTTCTGGCTATTAATGGCTCTTTTCACCTGCTCTTTTACCCATGGGGCAGTATTCAACAAACTCATACCATCAGCGTTAAGGACTTATGACTGTACAATGGAAATTCCTCCCCAACAACCGTGCAGAGCAGATTTTGGGGCCTGGGGTTCACACTTGTTGAGGGGGCGGGATAAAGAATTGCTTATTATAGGTGAGGGGAGGAGATGAGGGAGAAAGTTCCATTGCGCAAGTGGAAATCTTAGCACTAACAGAACAAGAATGTTGGATGCCGCCCTGTATCACTTTTGCAAGTGCACCTTTGACATCCTTGATAAAAGACTATAACGGAGATAAGAGGATGAACAAAATATTCTGCTGAAGAGGGTGGGCTCGCATTGCAGAGGAATGGCATGGTTGGGGGGGGGGAAGTGGGGGAAGAGAAAGAAAGAGAGGCAGGGATGCACAGGAAATCTGACATTTTAAAATGGTTTTTGCTGGTTAAGTCATGCAAAGGAAGAGAACCCAAAACTTACTTTTGCTTGCACTGGAGAAGAATGCAAATAGAGCCAACCTGGTATCAGCCAAACTCTTCACAGCCCACACGCTGCTGTGGCACAAAAGGATTTTTTTTTTTCATTTTTCAAAAAGAGCCATCTGCAAAGCTTTCATTTGTGGTTGTCTGCTTGCATGGTTAATAAGCATCTGTTAGTAAATGTTGGCTTGACTCCTTCCTTGAATGTGCACAGGAATTTTATTATTGTTTGAGACTCTCCCCCCCCCCCCATCTCACCCAAAATGATACGGCACTAAATTATCCTGTGTTTAGCCTTAATTGCTGGATGTTACAGGGCAGTCTAAACATTATCTGTCATGATATAGTTGGAATCAATGCAACAGATGTCCAGAAAAATGTGTAATGTTTTAAGTCTACATATAGATATGTGTATGTGTTGTTAATCTACATGTATCTATTTAAAGACATAAGCTTTAGAGATGGAATATAGCTCCAAACAACACAGATGCATATGTCTGGGCACTACGATGTCACTGTATTTCTTCAAAGAAAGTTCTTCCCCTGCAAAGACAAAGTAATAGCTGCTATATTCTTTGTCTTAAATGAGTTGGGGATAGGCACTTATTTTCTTAACCCATAGTCCAAGAGTGGAAATTAAAATTAAAATAACCCACAGCCTTAAAAAAAAAAGTTGTTGTGGAAATATGCTTGGTTTTGCAATTCAAGTTGCAAAACCAACGAGTATTCAAAGAGTTGCCTTGCTAGTGGGAAGTAACCAAATGAAATCTAGATTTTTGCTACAATTTTTTTGGGGTACAGTATGTCTCAAACAGTAAACTGCTTGCACTTCCTACTGGGATAGTATTTCAGTAGTATTTTCTGTGACACTGATGACTGATGTTATGGAACAGGAAACAAAGAGTAGAAAAAAATGGACAATTTTATATAAACAGTTTAGAGATTTATTTTAACTATTAAGCCGTATATGAAGCTTGCAAAATAAATGTATATTCTCTCCCAATGGAGGAAGTGGAATCCCCCAAAGATCAGTAAAGGTAAAGGGACCCCTGACCATTAGGTCCAGTCGTGGCCGACTCTGGGGTTGTGGCGCTAATCTCACTTTATTGGCTGAGGGAGCCGGCGTACAGCTTCCGGGTCATGTGGCCAGCATGACTAAGCTGCTTCTGGCGAAACCAGAGCAGCACACAGAAACGCCATTTACCTTCCCGCCAGAGTGGTACCTATTTATCTACTTGCACTTTGACGTGCTTTCGAACTGCTAGGTTGGCAGGAGCAGGGACCGAGCAACGGGAGCTCATCCAGTCACGGGGATTCGAACCGCTGACCTTCTGATCGGCAAGTCCTAGGCTCTGTGGTTTAACCCACAGCGCCACCTGCGTCCCTCCAAAGATCAGTACAGGGGCTTAATAAAATCCCCACTTGTTCATAAATGACTGTTGGGATGAACAGTGTAGTAGCCACATTGACTGATGGCACCAAATTGCTCAGGGTTGTTAAAAATAAAAAGGGATTGTGAGTAGGATCTCTCCAAATTGGGCAAACGGGCATTAAAGTGGCAAATGAGATCCAGTGCAAACTAGTGCAAAATGATGCACATTGCGCCAGAACATCCTAACTTACAAAGCAATATTTAAGTGCCTTAATGACCGGTTACCAAAATTTTAGTTTGCATATGTTTTCATTCATAATTTGCTTTCCATATTTTTGACCATATTTTGTTTTCCATGCTTACTCAGAAGTAAGTTCTGCCAAGTTCAGTGGAACTTGCTCCCAAATAAGTATGCATAAGATTGCATATCTGCCAACATTTTGGTGACCAAGGCAGGACTGCTGCTTTTATGCACCATTCTGCACTGAAAAGGGCTTTTCCCGAAATTCCATACATTGCATTCTGTAATTACTGTACCTTCCTTGCACTGGCTGCTGAAACAGGATGTGTTAACTGAGCATAACCATTTACTTTAGCTTAGGAATGTTTAATATCATAATAGTTATATGACTGTACTTATTACAGAATAGCTGCACCTTAAACTTCTTAGCTGATTCCATTATCTGGATAAGCAAATATGGAAGGGGGAACAAGGCCTGGACATTTTGTGCTCCATGCATATGCCTTTATATTTGCATGTGTACAAGAGCAAAGATTAATCTGCCACGACCTCAGACACATGAAGATTTAATGTCTATCGATGGAGGGGAGCCTGAATGGGAGAAAGGGAGATAGCATTATCTGCTGTTCAAAGGAACAGCCTTGCACTGAAATCTGAGCAAACATCTGAGAGGAGATTAAACATGGGATAGTTAATCTACCTTGGTAACATATTAGCAAACACAATGACTGTTATTTTACTCAGCAAACCACTGTGTCATACTGCTTCCGGAAAACATAAATTGCATAGTAAATTGGGGGATCAGTACAATGGTACTCATATGCATAGCTTCCTGGGAGTAAGTTTCATGGACCTCTCTGGTTCTTGCTGCTGACTGCAGAGGTTCAGCCTGTGAAACACATTGAAATTTAACAGAAGGTGTTCAGTCAGCTGAAACACAACGTTTAGCTTTGAATTAGAAATGCAAGCAATCTTGCAAAGAAGCGTTGCCTCTTAAACGTTTAGTATGAAGTAAGGGCCTCTGTCAAAAAGAATAGGTGCATGGTGCAAACTCATTGGCTGTCATGGACTGGCTGGACACAGAGGAGTGGTGGGAGGCACCAGCTGGGGAACCCCCAAGGGACAAAGGCTCAGAACCCGGGGATTGGTGGTGGAAGGACGAAGAGTGGACAGGGGAGAAGGGGGAGCCTGGGAGGAGGAGATGTTGGGAGCTGAAAAGATAAGATGGTTTAGTGAGCAGGGAGAGGCTGTGTCAGAGGAAAGTCCAGAATCAGAAGCTGAAGCAAAAGAAGGAGGAGACCAAGAGGCAGAGATGAGTCAGGCTGGTGAAAAGCCAGGGTGTCTCCCCCTCCTGCTGCAAGAAGCTTCTCTCCCCGCTGGTCTCCCAGGTCCAGAAGAACTATGAAGAGGGAGAAGCAGAGAGAGGCGCGTCGGCATAGTCTGAGATTGCTTGGGAAGGACCTGGGGGAGGAGGAGCCTCTGCAACTGCCTCATAGGGACAAGACCTACCAAGAAGAGTTGCTGTGCTCCTTACGCCTGTCTCCCCTGAGCAGGCCTTGTTTCTGCTAATAAAGTATTAACGCCACATACTCCATGTGATTTATTGCTGGGTGGCTGCCTGACATTGGCAGAGCTTATCCAATGCTCCTGTTGGTGCACTTGCACTGGATCAACCATCTCACCCCTCACCCTCTCCTCAGAAAGCAGCAGCATCCCACTTGCAGAAGAAGCTAATGTTAACAGTTTTGCCCTACCCAGCAAGCTGCTTCTGCTTATTATTGTTTCCTGTTGACGCAATATGCCACAGCGGCTTATCTATGTAGCTCTAGGTTGATAAAACAGCCTGCTTCCAATTTATCATGCATCTAATGGAACCTTTGCTGATAAAGCCACCTCTTGTCAATGCAAGGAACTCAAATCACCTCCTGTATAATATATGGGGCCTATATCTTGGGGTGACGTTGCTCTGAGAACAGTGGGGTGGGGTGGGGAAAGAAATGAGTAATAGCAGGTTAATATGACAGTTTTGGTCCTTTAGTGGTCAGGCGAAGGGAAGGGGGAAAGGAAGTATTTGGCAGGTGGAACTGGCTGGGAGCAAAAGGGGAATCTAGAAGAATGAGAGGGAGGTGTTCAGTGAGCTTTGCTGTCATGTAAGTGGGTGCACGATTTGAATCTTCGTTTACTCTATGTTAAATAATAGGTCATAATGCAGCCACCATTTAAGTATCATGATGCTTTTGAATTATGGTGCTGGAGGAGACCCTTGAGAGTCCCATGGACTGCAAGAAGAACAAACCTATCCATTCTTAAGGAAATCAGCCCAGAGTGCTCACTGGAAGGACAGATCCTGAAGCTGAGGCTCCAATACTTTGACCACCTCATGAGAAGAGAAGACTCCCTGGAAAAGACCCTTGTGTTGGGAAAGATGGAGGGCACAAGGAGAAGGGGACGACAGAGGACGAGATGGTTAGACAGCATTCTCGAAGCTGCAAACATGAGTTTGACCAAACTGCGGGAGGCAGTGGAAGACAGGAGTGCCTGGCGTGCTCTGGTCCATGGGGTCACGAAGAGTCGGACACGACTAAACGACTAAACAACTAAACAACAACAATGCAGCCACCATTTAAGCACTTTGAAAATCCACAGTCTTCAGTGATAAAAGCTGTTGTGTACTTAATTCCACTGAAAACAAGGAAACTTCAAAACAAAGGTGGACCTTCAGATGTTGCTGAACTACAGCTCCCATAATTCCTGATTGTAGCTGGTGGGGCTCAAGGAAGTGAAGCATATAAGACAGAAATAAAGTTGGGAAGGTGAAAGTGAGACCTAGCGGTTGCATGGGGTGGAAAGGAAGAAGGTCTAAGGTCTTATCTCTGGGGCAGGTGGAGACAGTGGCAAGCAGGGAGGCAGAACCCTCTAGTTTTAAGCATCTTACACAATCTGCATGGCTTCTTCGCCCTACATAAAAAGAAACCAGGATGTAGCCAGAACAGTTGATTTAAGGGACATTCCAACAAAAGCCAATTAATGAACCGCAGGTCTAGCTTTCAATAATGAGAGAAACATTTGATGAAATGAAGTGTGGGTGCTTGGCCCCAAACCACACATGCATTTTTGTTCATTTAGGATATTAATGAATCACGCTTCCTCCAAAAGAAGCTTGGAGCAATACACAACAAGCACAAAATCAAAACACACCAAGCATCACTAAGCACGTATACCAGCTGAACATTAAATAACAAAATCATTAAAACACAGGCTCGCCCATTGCTGCTAAGGATTAAGCTTCTCAATTTGAAAGTAAATAAGATTTGTCGTCATTAAACTGTGAAAAACCCTGAGCAAATTAAAATTATCCTCAAATGACACCTATTTATCCAATAACATGGGAGACAGGTGTAAGTCCAGGGGGAGTTCATCCCAAAATCCGACCCCCACTACAGGGAAGATTATTCTACATATCCCCTCACTATGAATCCTAGCAGGGACTGTGAGCAGAGCTCCTTCCATTAAGGATCAAAATGACTGGTATTGGAGGAGGCACTCCTTGCAGATATTTAGGGCCCAAGGAGGTCAGGAGTGGGGTTAACTGGGTCTGCCAGGGTTCCCCATTTTGCCCATAAGGCCCACCTACATACACCTGCCCTACACCTGCCGCCATATATGATGTCAAACATGGAGCAGGTAAAGGTGTTGGCTGAGAGTTCCTGCAAAGCCCATTTTGTTCCATCAACTGAACAGCAGTGCCTACAAAGCTCTGTGCAAGTGCCCTTCCCAGGTGCCAACAATCAGCTGATTGCTGTGTCAAGGAATTGTGAAGCTTTTTATGACATCTCTGGAATTACAATATTCTTGTGATCTAAATAGCATCTTTGGGTGTCACATCTCAAATGCGAATAGACATTAAATGTGCCTCATCTCTCTAGCAAATTGGTTAAGAAAACATTACAGTAATTAACAAATATCAGGCTTAAAAGTTTGTAACCAGTAGCACCTGTTTTGGACTAACATCCTTTTTAATGTGGCACAAGCTTTTGTGTGGTCTCCTGTGTCCTGTTTTCTGCATCCTGTTTCTTCAAATGCCAAAGTGTAATAGCTAGCAGAGTCATCACAATGTGGTTAGTGGAATGTTTGCTCTCAACAACCATTCATATATATATAATACTACAAACATCAAAGGAAAGGAAAGTCTTTATAAATGAAAGACGAGGCCATAGTCCAAGGATGGGGAAACTTTGGTCCTCCAGATGTTGTTGGAATACAATTCGCATCAGCCCCAGCCAGCTTGACAATGGTCAGGGTGGTGGGAGTTTTGATCCAACAACATCTAGAGGGCCAAAGGTGCCCCATCGCTGCCATATGTTTCTATTTGTGCCCTGGGTTGTACAATCACCCCCCCCCCTCTTTACAGTACAGTCATACCTCGGGTTGAAGTAGCTTCGGGTTAAGCATTTTCAGGTTGTGCTCTGCGGCGACCCAGAAGTAACGGAGTGCATTACTTCTGGGTTTCGCTGCTTGCACATGCGCAGATGCTCAAAATGACGTCACGCGCATGCGCAGAAGCAGCAAATCGCAACCCGTGCTTGCGCAGACGCACAGACATGGGTTGTGTTCGCTTCAGGATGCAAACGGGGCTCCGGAACGGATCCCATTCACATCCAGAGGTACCACTGTAGTGGACTTTGGGCTCAAATTTCAGTGGTGCTATGCACAACACGAAAATTTTGGGGAAGGCGCCTTTCGTGCTCTATTCTACAGCATTGTTGTGGCTTCCACTGCAGCATGGTGCCCAGTGAGGCTGGGCTAGTCACTCTACCCTAAAGCCACCTCTGTTCTTTAATTCACGTTTTCCCACTCCATACACCCGCCAGAATGGGTTTTCTTGAGAACAGTCACTCAGAGGTCTTTTATGACATCCCTGAATAGGTTGAACTGCTCATTCATGTGTTTTAATTGACTGATGACATCAGAGTTTGGTCTGTCTGTGTATTTCTCCAAGGAGGATGGCCAACATCCAGTCGCTTCTCTATGTTCACTGGTGTTGGACAGAAGTTTTCATGTTTAATACAAATCTGGAATATCTGCAGTGCTTGAAAGATTCAGGCAGAAGTGCTGCTTATTGCTGTATCCTTGAGAAGCGGACAGTTTGGAACAGCTTACAGACCATAGGGCGACTCTCCATTTATCTGCACGAGTGACTGCTGCAAGGCAAGGCTATTTTGTTTTTTCAAGGTAATGTGTCTGATGGCTTCCAGGCTTCAGAGTAGCTCACAGCTCCAAGTGCAAATCGGTGTTGCATGAGGATGTGAAACTCCACTGCATAAATGCTGCAAGCTGTGAGATGGTGGGCGGTAGCTTTTATTATGAAATAAGTCCTGAAATATTGCCCTTGATGGGAAATAGAGTGAGTCTGCTCTGAGATCTTTTAAGCTTTCACCTCATGCTTTTAACTGCAACAACAATGCTGGGCTTGTTATCTTGGCCACATTCTCTATTATTCTTGTCGTTGTTGTTATTTTGCTTAGAAGTTTCCACTCAGCTTTTATACCAAGGATTTATCCAGGAATCAAAGTGGTTTGCATAGATCTGTTTACTTCCAAAAATTTAAAGAAGTTCTAGAGCAGCGTTAGGGAACTAGTGTAGGCCTCCAGTGTTGCTGGACTCCAGCTCCCATCAGTCCCAGCTAGTATGGTCAATGTCCAAGGATGATGGGAGTTGTAGTCCAACAACATGGAGGTGGGGGATCCTTGATCTGGGATGGCTGGAAACAAAAAGATGCAGGGCTCCGGTACCATTTAAGAGTTGTTGAAGGAATTATTCATAGGTAAAGCTTGTCAGGAAGGGACACGGGTGGCACTATGGGTTAAACCACAGAGCCTAGGGCTTGCCGATCAGAATGTTGGCAGTTCAAATCCCTGCAACGGGGTGAGCTCCCGTTGCTCAGTCCCTGCTCCTGCCAACCTAGCAGTTCGAAAGCATGTCAAAGTGCAAGAAGATAAATAGGTACCGCTCCGGCGGGAAGGTAAACGGCATTTCCGTGCGCTACTCTGGTTTGCCAGAAGCGGCTTAGTCATGCTGGCCACATGACCCGGAAGCTGTACACTGGCTCCCTCGGCCAATAAAGCGAGATGAGCGCCGCAACCCCAGAGTCGGCCACAACTGGACCTAATGGTCAGGGGTCCCTTTACCTTTAAAGCTTGTCAGGAACCGCTCATCTGCGAGGGTCTGACCTAAGATGGGCATGTACACATTGCCATTGCTTGGAGACCTTCAAGTGCAGTGATAAACAGCTATTTTGAGCACTGCTGATATTCCAGATCTGTATTAAATATGAAAACTTCTATCCGACCTTCGAGTGACGAGCATATATTAGGCAAAATTGCACATATAAGTGTGAATAGGATGTGAAATTTGCACTAAAATGCTGACTGATATTCAAGGGGACTTAAAAACAAACAAACCACAAACTGATGTGGAAATTAAGACTAGAAAAATGAGAAACTAAGAAAAGCCAAAAGTGACAGATCCCTACTGACAGCTTCCCTGTTTCTCCTTATGCCAGCTGTCAGTAGAATTTTGCATGAGTAGCTTTAGAAACTGGCACAACCCAACCCACCACAAAAGCAAGGTGGGATATTGCAGAACGGATGGATAATAATAATAATAATAATAATTTATTTATACCCCGCCCATCTGGCTGAGTCTCCTTTAACTACTCTGGGCTGCTCCCAGTCAAGTGTTAAAAACAGTACAGCGTTACATATTAAAAACGTCCCTGAACAGGGCCGCCTTAAGATGTCTTCTGAATGTCTGGTAGTTGTTTATCTCTTTGACATCTGATGGGAGGGCGTTCCACAGGGCGGGCGCCACTACCGAGAAGGCCCTCCGTCTGGTTCCCTGTAGCCTCACTTCTCGCAATGAGGGAACTGCCAGAAGGCCCTCGGAGCTGGATCTCAGTGTCCGGGCTGAACGATGGGGGTGGAGACTCTCCTTCAGGTATACTGGGCCGAGGCCGTTTAGGGCTTTAAAGGTCAGCACCAACACTTTGAATCGTGCTCGGAAACATACTGGGAGCCAATGCAGACATCTCAGAACTGGTGTTATGTGGTCCCGGCGGCCACTCCCAGTCATTGAACAAATAAATAAACCCACTAACTGCCTTGTAAATAAAGGCTCATTTACGCCAGTCTCACGACACGAACCATTGGTTTAACTCCTCTATCTATCTATCTTTTTAATGCATATTTTTATTTAGAATGTAGAGCCTTGTGCATGTTAATTTGAATGTAAGTCCTAACTATGTGGTCACACCTGCTGCTCCTACATAATGATTGTGACCTGTTACTTCTACCTAGTCTGTTTGGGAATGGAAGAAGTCAACTCACTCTGCTTTGCATCCCAAGTCAAAAGCATTGTGTCGTGGCACATTGATTCCCATGGAGTTTGCCTCCAAAAAAACATCCTCAGTCAGAAGCTTTTATCTGAGAGATTAACGGGTGGCCCTTTTCTTGATCCTGTCTCCCTCACAGGCGTGCTTAGTAGTGACCTTTGTGGTAGCTGCTCCCAGAATTTGGAACTCCTTCCCTCAAGAAATTAGGCTGCCTTTATTCTTGTTGTCCTTCTGCCGGCAAGCAAAGACTGTAGGATCATAGAATTGTAGAGTTGGAAGGGACCAACGAGGAT